GGAAGGTAAATAAAACATTATTTCATTTTTTTGCAATAAACGTTCAATATTTACATTATACATTTCATTTTATTAATAAATAATTAATAAATTAATTACCTGTGTGCCACACCACATATTTTCTTCAGAATTTTATCGTGTAATATTCCAGCAAAAACAATGTGAGGCAGTCTTTTTTATATTTTAGACAGTTTTAATATTTTATCCTTAATATTTTTCATTATCAATCTTTGGGCAATTACAAATTTACAGTATTTCTATCTAAATATTGTCTAGTTCAGCTCAATTTGACAGAAAAAAACCTTTATGTCACAGGCTGATTTCTAAAAAAACTTATCTGGCAGCATGGCTAAATTGTGCAAACAAACTATTTCGTCCAAAACCGACAACAAAACCTTAATGACAACTATTGAAAGTTTAACTTGCATCTCAAATATTTGAATAATTTGACACAGTCGCTCTGAACATATTTAAATAGGAAAAACAAGATCAACATGGAAACCGGCATTCAATGGATGCATCCCCAACAAAACCAGCAATGCAGATTCACCGCCAAGGAGCCCAGCAGGGCAGTAATGGTCATTTTATTTCATCAAATCCTCAAACAGTTATTTCTTGCTTATTGTCACTTAAAGAATAAGTATGAAAAATGTACCATAGATTAATTAATTTACAACTGCAGTGCTAAGAAACACCATACACAATCCCTTTAATCAGCCTCCGGGATGTGGTTTTTTTTTATTTACCGGTATATACTTTAAAGTGCACCACATACGGTGTAAGCGCTTTTCTGTATGATACATATTATAAATTTTGTTTCATAATGATGTCCCTTGTCTCACAACTGTGCCTTGTCAAATATTGGAAGTTTCAAGTTAAACGCTTTAATTGTTTGAACCGCTCTTACTAATAAAATGTATAAATGTTGAATTCTACTTGGAGTTACGAAGGAGGGACGGTAACCTGCACTTTTCAGTATCATCCGTGAACAGGCTCGATCAAACTGAGTCTTTTGTCATTTTAGGACGCTCTTAACGGATACCGCTTGATCTTTTCCATTGCCATATATGTATTATTTGTGCCGTATGGAGGGCGTAAAATATCGCCCCGTGTATGTTATCAAAACTGTTTTAGTCCCATTAATGATGTGTGTACATATGTGTCCTACTTGAATACCGCTCCCCCCCCCCCCCCACGTATGAGACAGCGTCTTATCTGTGATATGCAGGCTTCAGAATTTCTAATCCCTTACCAAATTCAGTTTTATTCGTTCAACCCATTTATATATCGTGTGTACAGCATACGATATGTTTCCTTGGATATCTTACGCCGCTTTTCACAGAATGAACGAAAGTATCACATTGAATGTTACATAATAACCGCCTTATGATCACATCTGTAGCTGTTTCTAAATCCAGAATTTCACCATTTTTGTTTTTAAATGTTGCTTAACCAGGTGCTTAAGGGCGTGGACTAAAATTACACTTTTCATTACCGTCAATGAACAAACTCAATCAAGCCGAGCCTGCAACATTTTAAAATGTGTCGTTTACAGAAGGGGCATATCTTTAATATATTGTTTTACAACTTCGACTTTTGTTGATCATCAAGTGGTGGTTCAAGAGTCACGTTGATCTCCTCCAATAGGTTTTAAAACTTTCAACTTGATATGCACTTAAAAGGGGGCGTTACTCCAAAAATATAGCTTTCACAGTAATGTCCATGTCAAACAGCTGTGTTTTGTCAAAATATACTATTATTCCAAGTTTCATGTTGGCACATTTTTTATAGTTTTCAAATCATTTTACTTTGTAAGCAATTGCACAGTTGCAAAAAGAAATAAAGAATAAACATTAAGGCAAGATGAAATAGATAGTCTTTTTGATGGTATATGGCAATCATTTGTCAAGAAAATAAATACTCCATCGTCTCGATCAGTACAAAACAGAAGAAAAATGTTTGATATTTTTAGAACGAGCCTTCGAAATGAATTCAAAAGCCATTTTACGGTGTTAAAAGTTACTTTAGAACAGAGTAAGAACTTGACACCTTTGCCAAATGTCACATGTTTAAGGGAAACGTTCCATTGCACTGGAATTAATGAAAGAGATATTAATTTTACATGGTTTCAAACGGAGAAAAATATTAAAGGGTGCTTCAAATGCAATGACGTATATTCATTCTAGGGTTGAAGAAGTATTTGGAACAATTGACGATTTTATACATGGATTGTGTCGGGTGATTGAAGAAATAACGGAAATGTCTGTAGATCTATAAATGCAACTTGTATACATGCACATGGACGTGTATACATGCAACTCTAAAAGGAGACACAAAATACAAATTTCAAATACCATTTTATGTAAAAATGTATGTACGTGTTAGTAGACATGCTCATGTTGTGGTAAAGAAGCATAATGATAATTATTTTGGAGCACATGGCTCTGTTGCTCGCCTGGAAAGATACAGCAAAAAATAAGTTTTGAGGCTCACTTAAGTTCTCGTTATACTGAAGATGTAATCTCAAACTTATTCACCAACGTCATTGAATGTTTCAGTGAAGAATACACATCGCAATATTTGTCAAATAATGTATTTAAAAAGCTGTATGCTAATCTGCCTTCAGTCAAAAATACAGTCATAATTGAAATATGCAGTGACCTTTGGAAAATAAGGACTTCTCCCGTTTTTTAAGGATATATACGAGATCCTAAGGTATATGCAAGGTCAACAGGTAAAGCAAACATTTATTCGAAGAGAAACAGTATGCAAAATTGTCTTTAGTTCTTCTTAAAGATGTTTTTCTACTGTAAAAACCTGTGTGTCGGATGTTGGTCATCAATGCAAAGATTGGTTCCACACAATTCGTACCGAAATTTGCATCGAATCGTTTAGAAAATTAATAGAAGATTCCAAGTATATAATAAAAGAAGAGGATTTCAAAATTTTGAAGAAAGGAACAGAAAATATAAAAGATTTGGAATACATTACAAGCAAAATATTGGAAAAAATAAAAGAGTCAGAAACATGTCTTGTTTCCAGGTTTGAAAATACCGACCGTAATTCAGTTAAGTGGATGGACGCAAATCCAATTGACAGTTATGTTAAAAGTGCGTGGGGATGTCAAAAACAATATTCATTTCGTGGTGAACCACGTCCACAAACTAAAGATCATTTTGAATCTAACAAATCTCACACCTGCATGCAACATCAAGCCCTTTGCTGCATAGGCAATTGAAGCTTGGATAATGAATTGGCATATCTGGAATCTTGTGAATTTCTTATTTAAATTAAAACAGATGATGTACACACGTGCGGTCTCTTTAATTACGCATGCAATAACGGAAAACGAGAAAAGTGCGATAAGAAACATCGTTTCAACAAGTATAAAATCCATTTAAAAGATTGGTATATAGCACCATCATTTAATATGCATGACAATTCTGTATATTGGATGTGGTTTGTTGCGAATTTCAAAGAGGAGTTGGAAGAATACCATAAATATAAGTTGAGGAATATACCTCCCTCTTGGAAGGATATAACAGATGATCAAGCATTGGGAAATCTTTTAAATATATCGACGGTCTAGTGCTATAAGGGCGTTAATGCATTTTTATAAGTTTCGGGAAATCGAAAAAACTGTCTGCAGACTTTGATCCTTTTTCAATCATAATAAAATTTGGGACACACTTAGAACTACTAATATCGACTTTTTTAAAACATTTTTCAAATTAAAATAACCCATCACCTTAATTACATTCACGAAATTCGTTTTAAGCGCTTTTAATATTTACATTTTCAAGCATCGGCCATTAATTCTTAAAGAACGTAACTAGCAGTTACGCTCTTTAAAATTGTTACTCGGACTTAGCTCAATAGGGTGTAACTACCACATAAGCCCTTTTAGATTTTTGTGTATTCATTGACTTTTCAATCCAAATATACAATTGTTTTATCATTAACAATAATTAATGAATTATAATAAGTGACCATTTTTCAAGTATCTTTTGTCTTTAATCTTATGACATTGTATGTGAAGATTACATGACAGATAAATAAAACAAGTATTGATTTTAAGTGTTACATAATTGTATGATTTAGAACAGTCAGTGTTTCATTGACTTCGAGCTGATTAACCTTAGAAGGTACAACACATTGATTCTTTCCTAGAATTAACTTAGATGACTGATATATTCTGTGTGTGGAAAACCGTTGAAGTAATGTTACATATCATCTATCTAAGCTCTGAGTATTGTGTCGTAGTTTCCTGTGGCCATTGAAACCATTTCTGTAAAAGGTAATATTTCAAGTTGGATAAAAATCCACATTATGATTAAAGAAGAGATATATCTAAAGAAATTGAGGTTAATGTCGGATAACAGATATATTTCTATCACAGACAAAAGCTCACCCAAGCACTTGAAAACGTCAAGCACGGAACGTTTTTATCGCTTAATGTACAATGATGCACATACGACAGCTGATACAAAGCATAAAGGCAACATTGATACAAATTTTAACTGTTTAGTTTATACAAATTTATTTCAGTTGTTCCATTGTGTTGGATGTTGTAACCTTATCTAAATACACTCGAATCTGCTCCCATGGAAACAATACCGCAATTAGTTTTGTAAATGTACACACATTCGTGTCTGAACTGTAACTTTGTCACGCATGGAAGTTTGTTGTGTTTTTTTTAATAACTTGGCAAGAATGTCTACAACATCAAAATAACGTGTCGTGTCTAAGGCCCATGTTATGTCCCTACATCCAGAGTCAATGTGATTAGTTTATTATGAAGAGCACGTCACTTTACAAGAACAATATAAGGCAATTAATTACTTTTTTCTCTTTTCCTATCAGCAACACTAACGAAACCTTCCCGGCAGCAATCGTCACATTTGCGTGAAAGCTTTTGTTTCTTGTTGATGTTTTTTTTCTTGCTTATTTATTTATTAATTCATTTATTTATTTATTCATTGAAGTAAGTAACGTGACATTTTAGTTACAACTCATACAATTTTACCGTACATTTTATAAAATCTGCGGCAGGATAACGCATTTTTTTCGATTTATATCATAGTGAGTGACACACTGACTGAAGAGCCAAACATGATTATACTTACCAAACTATCGGTAGATATAAATAGGTCTATGTTGAAAAAATTCTTTGAAAACGCAATAGAGTGTGGAGGAAAAATTGTGAAGGTGACTGTTAACAACAGAGAGCGTTCTGCCATTGTCACATTTGATACGTCTGCAGGTATGATATTGTATATTAAATTTATTTTATTGTACAATCAGTTTAAAAAAAAACTTTCATGTTACTTTATTGAAATATTCTTTCCTTGACCTAAAATATTTTTAGAAAAAAAATCGACATCTTGAACATCTTAAAATCTTCAGGTTTTATATGTGTTCCTTTTTGTGTTTCTGTTGTTGTTGTTGTTTTTATCATTATTTATTTCTTCAATTTTTTCTTCTTTTTATTTCTCTTCTTCTTCTTTTCTTCTTATTTCTATTATTATTATTATCATTTCCATTACCATTATTATTTTTATTTTGCAGACAGTTTTCCAAAATGGAATAAGTAGATTTCTTTAACAATTTATTTGTTGATTGATTTGTTGTGCATCTTGTAACATATTTTGTCAGATAACACATTTTAGCATTTTCTTTTCAGCTGTATATGAAATGATTGAAAAGAGACCATTGACAATATTGGGGTTTAAAATTGATGTTGATGTGTACAGTAAGTGAAATTTTAGTACTTTAGTTAAAACACATTCAACAGATTTCCTATTTCCCTTGTCAGTCTTAATTTTTTTTTAGTTTTTTAAATCATTTTTAATTTATGTACATACACTTTATTGAAAATAAAACTAATATAAAATTATATATAAGAATGAAATATATTTGAAAGCGACGCCCGTCAAAGCGTAAAATATGAGTGGAAAGGTAAAGTAAATATTATTTTACTTTTGCAATAAATGTTTGATATTTTATATTATACATTTCACTTTATTAATAAATAATTAATAAATAAATTACCGCTTTGCCACACTATCAATATTCTTCAGAATTTTATCGTGTAATGTTCAAGCGAAAACAATGTGAGGCAGTCTTTTTAAATTTTAGACAGTTTTGATATTTTATACTTAATACTTTTTATTATCATTTTTTGGGAAATTACAAATTTACAGTATTTCTATCATAATATTTTCTGGTTTAGCTCAATTTGACAGAAAAAAACTTTATGTCATCTTAACTATCATACATGCTGATTTCTAAAAAAACTAACTTATCTGGCAGCATGTTTAAATTATGCGAACAAATTCGTCCAAAACCCACAACGAAACTTTAATGACAACTATTGAAAGTTTAACTTGCATCTCAAATATTTAAATAATTAAAACTGTGACAAGTCGCTCTGAACATATTTATGACCGAACAAATAGCATATAGTTGTTTGATAAATATTTACAAATAATATTTACAAATAATAGGAAAAACAAGATCAACAAGAAAAACGGCATTCAATGGATGCATCCCCAACAAAACCCAGCAATGCAGAACCACAGCCAAGGAGCCCAGCAGGGCAGTAACCGTCATTGTATTTTATCAAATCCTCAAACAGTTATTTCTTGCTTATTGTCACTTAAAGAATAAGTATGAAACATGTACCATTAATCTATTTGCAACTCCAGTGCTAAGAAACACCATACACAACCCCTTTAATCAACCTCCCGGATGTGGTTTCTTTTTATTTATACACTATAAAGTGCACCGCATACGGTGTAAGCGCTTTTCTGTATGATACATATTATAAATTTTGTTTCATAATGATATCCCTTGTCTTACAACTGTGCCTTGTCAAATATTGGAAGTTTCAAGTTAAACGCTTTAATTGTTTGAACCGCTCTTACTAATGAAATGTATAAATGTTGAATTCTACTTGGAGTTACGAAGGAGAGAAGGTAACCTGCACTTTCCAGTATCATCCGTGAACAGGCTTGATCAAACTGAGTCTGCAACATTTTCAATTTTGTCATTTTGGGATTCCGCTTGATCTATTCCATTGCCATATAAGTATTATTTGTGCCATAGGGAGGCCGTAAAATATCGCCCAAAGTATGTTATCAAAGCTGGTGCCTGCGTTTTTTTTAAATTTTCTTTTTGGCCTCTTATCTGTGATATGCAGGCTTCACAATATCTAATACCGAACCAAAACTCAGTTTTATTCGTTCGACCCATTTATACATCGTATGTAGAGTATACGCCGTGTTTCCTTGGATACCTTATGCCGCTTTTCACAGATGGAAAGAAAGTATCACATTGAATGTTACGTGATAACCGCCGTAACCGCTGTAGCTGCTTTTAAATTCAGAATTTCACCATCTTTGTGTTTAAATGTTGCTTAACCATGTACTTAAGGACGTGGGCCAAAATTACACTTTTCATTACCGCCAATGAACAAACTCAATCAAGCTGAGCGTGCCATATTTTAAATTGTGTCGTTGACATAAGGGGCATATCTTTCATATATTGTTTTACAACTGCGACTTTTATTGATCATCAAGTGGTGGTTCAAGAGTCACGTTGATATCTTAAAATAGGTTTTAAATCTTTCAACTTCATATGCAGTTGACAAAATGTTTAAGTTAAAAAGGGGCGTTACTTCAAAGATATAGCTTTCACAGTAATGTCCATGTCAAACAGCTGTGTTTTGTCAAGATATATTATTATTCCAAGTTTCATGTTGACACTTTTTATAGTTTTCAAATCATTCTACTTTGTAGGCAATTGCACAGTTGCAAAATAAATAAAGATAAAACATTCAGGCAAGATAAAATAGATGGTATATGGCAATCATTTGTGAAGAAAGTAAATACTCCATCATCTCGATCAGAACAAAACAGAAGAAATGTTTGATATTTTTAGAACGAGCCTTCCAAATGAATTCAAAAGCCATTTTACGGTGTTAAAAGTGTACTTAGAACAGAGAAAGAACTTGACACCTTTGCCAAATGTCACATTTTTAGGGGAACGTTCCATTGCACGGGAAATAATGAAAAAGATATTATTTTTACATGGTTTCAAAAGGGGAAAAATATTAAAGGGTGCTTCAAATGCGATGACGTATATTCAATCTAGGGTTGACAGGTTGCAGGCTCAATCAAACCGAGCCTGCAACATTTTCAATTTTGCCGTGTTGGGCTTTCTTTAGTGATTTTTATTTTCTCTATTTTATCGCCACATCAGTGTTGTTTGTGCCGTGTGGAGGCTGTAAAACGCCGCCCCGTACATTCAATCACAGATGTTATATTCTGATCCTTAACGATCGTTCAGCACAACATTATTGTTGTGCTTGTGGTAATTTAGTTCTTTCTATACGGCTATTTTCTTGTTGGGTGGTTCCAGTATTCCTTATTTGAATACTGTTGAATCATTCTTAGGATATGTGGCCTGCTTTTTAAATTTGTCTTTTGACGTTATATCTGTGATATGCAGGCCTCATAACCTCTGACCCCCTTTCAAAATTCCATTTTATTAGTTCCGCCAATTTTTTTCTCGTTTAGGGCACATGCATTTTTTACTTGGGGACCATATGCCGCTTTTCATGGAATAGCACTTACGTGTCACATTGAAGGTTCCATGATAACCGCCATATGAACACATCTGTGGATGTTTCAAAATTACAAATTGTTCCTGTTCATGTTTAATGTTGAATTCTGCTTAAGCCGGTGCTAGGGGGACGTGGACGGTATTTTGCACTTTACAGTACCGTCCATGAACAGGCTTAATAAAACCGAGCCTGCAACATTTTCAATTTTGTCGTGTTGGTCTATCTTTAGGGATTCTTATTTTCTTGATTTTGACGATGTATTTGGAACAATTGACGATTTTATACATGGATTGTGCCGGGTGATTGAAGAAATAACGGAAATGTCTGTAGATCTATTAATGCATGAACTTGGGACTTGTATACATGCAATTCTAAAAGGAGACACAAAATACAAATTTCAAATTCCATTTTATGTAATATAAATGTATGTTCATGTTAGTAGATATGCTCATGTTGTGTTGGAGAAGCATAATGATAATTATTTTAGAGGACATGGCTCTGTTGCTCGCCTGGAGAGATATAGAGTACAGCAAAAAATAAGTTTTGAGGCTCACTTAAGTTCTCGTTATACTGAAGATGTAGTCTCGGACTTATTCACCAACGTCATTGAATGTTTCAGTGAAGAATATACATCGCAAAATTTGTCAAATCATGCATTTAAAAAGCTTTATGCTAATCTGCCTGCAGTCAAAAATACAGTCATAATTGAAATATGCAGTGACCTTTTGAAAAAGAAGGACTTCTCCCGTTTTTTAGGATATATACGAGATCCTAAGGTATATGCAAGGTCGTGGTTAACAGGTAAAGCAAACAGATATTTATTTGGAGAGAAACAGTATGCAAAATTGTCTTTAATTCTTCTTAAAGATGTTTTTCTACTGTAAAAGCCTGTGTGTCAGATGTTGGCTATCAATGCAAAGATTGGTCCCACCCAATTCGTACCGAAAATTGGATCGAATCGTTTAGAAAGTTAATGAAAGATTCCAAGTTTATAATAAAAGCAGAGGATTTTAAAATAATGAAGAAAGAAACAGAAAATATAAAAGATTTGGAATACCTTACAAACAAAATATTGGAAAAAATAAAAGAGTCAGAAACATGTCTTGTTTCCAGGTTTGAAAATACCGACCGTAATTCAGTTAAGTGGATGGACGCAAATCCAATTGACAGTTATGTTAAAAGTGCGTGGGGATGTCAAAAACAATATTCATTTTGTGGTGAACCATGCCCACAAACTGAAGGTCATTTTGAATCTTACAAATCTCACACCTGCATGCAACATCGACCCCTTTGCTGCATAGCGATTGAAGCATGGATAATGAATTGTCATGTCTGGAGTCTTGGGAATTTCTCATTCAAACAGATGCTGAACACTCGTGCGGTCTCTTTAATTACGCATGCAATAACGGAAAACGAGAAAAGTGCAATAAGAAACATCGCTTCAACGAGTATAAAATCCATTTAAAAGATTGGTATATAGCACCATCATCTAATATGCATGACAATTCTGTATATTGGATGTGGTTTGTTGCGAATTTCAAAGAGGAGTTGGAAGAATACCATAAATATAAGTTGAGGAATATACCTCCCTCTTGGAAGGATATATCAGATGATCAAGCATTGGGAAGTATTTTAAATATATCGACGGTCTAGTGCTATAAGGGCGTAAATGCATTTTTTACAAGTTTCGGGAAATCGAAAAAAACTGTCTGCAGACTTTGATCCTTTTTCAATCATAATAAAATTTAGGACACACTTAGAACTACTAATATCGACTTTTTTAAAACATTTTTCAAATTAGAATAACCCATCTCCTTAATAACATTCACGAAATCCGTTTTATGCACTTTTAATATTCACATTTTCAAGCATCGGCCATTAATTCTTAAAGAACGTAACTAGCAGTTACTCTTTTTAAAATTGTTACTCGGAGTTAGCTAAATAGGGTGTAACTCCCAAATATGCCCTTTTAGATTTTAGTGTATTCATTGACTTTTCAATCCAATTATAACAAAATTTTATCATTAACAATAATTAATGAATTATAATAAGTGACCATTTTTAAAGTATCTTTTGTCTTTAATCTGATGGCATTGTATGTGAAGATTACATGACAGATAAATAAAACAAGTATTGATTTTAAGTGTTACAAAATTTTATGATTTAGAACAGTCAGTGTTTTATTGACTTCGAGCTGATTAACCTGAGAAGGTACAACACATTGATTCTTTCCTAGAATTAACTTAGATGACTGATACATTCTGTGTTTGAAAAACCCACAAAGTAATGATACATATCAACTATCTAAGCTCTGAGTATTATGTCGTAGTTTCCTGTGGCCATTGAAACCATTTCTGTAAAAGGTCATACTTCAAGTTGGATTAAAATCCACATTATGATTAAAGAAGAGGTATTTATAAAGAACTTTTGGTTAATGACGAATAGCAGACATTATTACGGCTAAATGTACAATGATGCACATACGACACCCAATACAAAACGTAAAGGCAACACTTTGATATAAATTCTAACTGTTTAGTTTATACAAATTTATTTCAGTTCGGTTGTGTTGGAAGTTGTAAGCTTATCTAAACACATTCGAATCTGCTCCCATGGAAACAATACCGCAATTAGTTTTGTTAATGTACACATATTCGTGCCTGAACTGTAACTTTGTCATGCATGGAAGTTTTTTTTAAATAATTGGCAAGAATGTCTACATTATCAAAATAACGTGTCGTGTCTAAGGCCCATGCCATGTCCCTACATCTAAGGTCAATGTGATTACATGTAGTTTATTATGAAGATCACGTCACTTTACAAGAACAATATAAGGCAATTTATTACTTTTTTTATTCCTTTTCATAAAATCTTTCAGCAACACTAATAAAACCTTCCCGGGAGCAATCGTCACATTTGCGTGAAAGCTTTTGTTTCTTATTGTTTATTTTTTCTTTCTAATTTATTCATTCATTCATTCATTTATTCATTGAAGTAAGTAACGTGACATTTTAGTTACAACTCATACAATTTTACCGTTCATTTTATAACTTCTGAACCAGGATAACACATATTTTTCGATTTACATCATAGGGAGTGACACACTGACTGAAGATCCAAACATGATTATACTTACCAAACTATCGGTAGATATTAATAGGTTTATGTTGAAAAGATTCTTTGAAAATGCAATAGAGTGTGGAGGAAAAGTTGTGAAGGTGACTGTTAACACCAGAGAGTGTTCTGCCATTGTCACATTTGATACGTCTGCAGGTATGATATTGTATAAATTTATTTTATTGTACAATCAGTTTAAAAAACACTTTCTTGTTACTTTATTGAAATATTCTTTCCTTGACCTAAAATATTTTTAGAAAAAAAAATCGACATCTTGAACATCTTAAAATCTTCAGGTATTATATGTTCCCTTTTATGTTCTTGTTGTTGTTGTTTTTATCATTATTTATTTCTTAACTTATTTCTTCTTTTTCTTCCTCTTGTTCTTCTTCTTATTTCTATTATTATTATTATTATTATTATTATTATTATTATTATTATTATTATTATTATTATTATTATTATTATTATTATTAGGAAGCCATACAACTTAATCAGTTTTCCAAAATGGAATAAGTAGATTTCTTTAACAATTTATTTGTTGATTTTTTGCTGCTGTGCATCTTGTAACATATTTTGTCAGATAATACATTTTAGCATTTTCTTTCAGCTGTATATGAAATGATGGAAAAGAGACCATTGACAATATTGGGGTTTAAAATTAATGTTGACGTGTACAGTAAGTGAAATTTTAGTACTTGTCTGAGTTAAAACACATTTTTCAACAGATTTCCTATTTCCCTTGCCAATCTTGAATTTTTTGTTATTGAAAATAAAACTTATATAAAACTAAATATAAGAATAAAAAATATGTGGATGCGCAATGAGCCCGTCCAAGCGTAAAATATAAGAGGGAAGGTAAAGTTAACATAATTTTACTTTTTTGCAATAAATGTTCAATATTTTATATTATACATTTCACTTTATTAATAAATAGATAATTAATAAATAAATTACCTGTGTGCAACACTATCAATATTCTTCAGAATTTTATCGTGTAATTTTCAAGCGAAAACAATGTGAGGCAGTCATGTTATATTTTAGACAGTTTTGATATTTTATTCTTAATATTTTTCATAATAAATTTTTGGGCAATTACAACTTTACAGTATTTCTATCTAAATATTATCTAGATCAGCTCAATTTGACAGAAAAAAAACATTTATGTCACCTTAACTATCATACAGGTTGCTTTCTAAAAAAACTAACTTATCTGGCAGCATGATTAAATTGTGCAAACAAACTATTTCGTCCAAAACCCACAACTATTGATAAATTAACTTGCATCTTAAATATTTCAATAATTGAAACTGTGACAAGTCTTTCTGAGAACAAATAGCATATAGTTGTTTGAAAAATATTTAAAAATAAAAAGGAAAAACAAGATCAACAAGGAAGAGCGGCATTCAATGGATGCATCCCCAACAAAACCCAGCAATGCAGAACCACCGCCAAGGAGCCCAGCAGGGCAGTAACCGTCATTTTATTTCATCAAATCCTCAAACAGATGTTTTTTGCTTATTGTCACTCAAAGAATAAGTATGAAACATGTACCATTAATCAATTTACAACTCCAGTGCTAAGACACACCATACACAACCCATGTAATAAACCTCCAGGATGTGGTTTCTTTTTATTTATATACTTTTAAGTGCACCACAGACGGTGTTAGCGCTCTTCTGTATGATACATATTATAAATTTTGTTTCATAATGATGTCCCTTGTCTTACAACTGTACTTGTCAAATATTGGAAGTTTCAAGTTAAACGCTTTAAATAATTGTTTGAACCGCTCTAACTAATAAAGTGTATAAATGTTGAATTCTACTTGGTTTGACGAAGGGTGGAAGGTAACCTGCACTTTCTAGTATCATCCGTGAACAGGCTCAATCAAACCGAGTCTGCAACATTTTCAATTTTGTCATTCTTGAACGCTCGACGCTCTTAACGGATTCCGTTTCATCTATTCCGTTGCCTTATCAGTGTTATTTGTGCCGTATGGAGGCCGTCAAATATCGCGCCATGTATGTTATCAAAGCGGTTTTTGTTTTGATCCTTGAATATCGTTCAACGAGACATTAATGCTGTGTATACATATGTGTCCTACTTGAATACTGCTCACCCCCCCCCCCCCAACGTATAATATGGTGCCGGCGTTTTTTAAATTTTCCTTTGGCGTCTTATCTGTGATATGCAGGCTTCGGAATTTCTAATTCCTTACCAAATTTCAGGTTTATTCGTTCGACCCATTTATATATCGTGTGTAGAGCATACGCTATGTTTCCTTGGATACCTTATGCCGCTTTTCACAGATGGAACGAAAGTATTACATTGAATGTTACATGATAACCGCCGTATGATCACATCTGTAGCTGTTTCTAAATCCAAAATTTAACCATTTTTGTGTTTAAATGTTGCTTAACCAGGTGCTTAAGGGCGTGGACCAAAATTACACTTTTCATTACTGTCAATGAACAAACTCAATCAAGCCGAGCCTGCAACATTTTAAATTGTGTCGTTGACAAAAGGGCCATATATTGTTTTACAACTGCGACTTTTCATGATCATCAAGTGGTGGTTCAAGAGTCACGTTGATATCTTCCAATAGGTTTTTAATCTTTCAACTTAATATGCAGTTGACAAAATGTTGAGTTAAAAGGGGCGTTACTCCAAAGATAAAGCTTTCACAGTTATGTCCATGTCAAAAAGCTGTGTTTTGTCAAGATATACTATTTATTCCAAATTTCATGTTGACACTTTTTATAGTTTTCAAATCATTCTACTTTGTAGGCAATTGCACAGTTGCAAAAAGAAATAAAGATAAAATATTCAGGCAAGATAAAATAGATGGTTTATGGCAATCATTTGTGAAGAAAGTAAAAACTCCATCGTCTCGATCAGAACAAAACAGAAGAAAAATGATTGATATTTTCAGAACGAGCCTTCTAAATGAATTTAAAAGCCATTTTGCGGTGTTAAAAGGGTACTTAGAACAGAGTCAGAACTTGACACCTTTGCCAAATGTCACATTTTTAAGGGGAACGTTCCATAACACGGGAATTAATGAAAAGGATATTAATTTTACATGGTTTCAAACGGGGAAAAAAATATTAAAGGGTGCTTCAAATGCAATGGCGTATATTCAATCTAGGGTTGACGAAGTATTTGGAACAATTGACGATTTTATACATGGATTGTGCCGGGTGAATGAAGAAATAACGGAAATGTATGTAGATCTATTAATGCATGAACTTGGGACTTTGTAACATGCAATTTCTTAAAAGGAGACACAAAAATAACAAATTTTCAAATTCCATTTTATGTTAAAAATGTAATGTAAATGTTAGTAGATATTGCTCATGTGTGTGGGAGAAGCATAATGAATAATTTATTTTTTAGAGGACATTGGCTTCTGTTGCTCGCCTGGAAAAGATACAGAGACAGCAAAAAATAAGTTTTGAGGGGCACAGTTTAAGTTTCTCGTTATAATGAAAATGTAGTTTCTCAGACTTATTCACCAACGTCATTGAATGTTTCAGTGAAGAATATACATCGCAAAATTTGTCAAATCAATGCATTTAAAAAGCTTTATGCTAATCTGCCTGCAGTCAAAAATACAGTCATAATTGAAATATATGCAGTGACCTTTTGAAAAAGAAGGACTTCTCCAGTTTTTTTAGGATATATACGTGATCCTAAGGTATATGCAAGGTCGTGGTTAACAGGTAAAGCAAACAGATTTTATTTGGAAGAAACAGTTATGCAAAATTGTCTTTTAATTCTTCTTAAAGATGTTTTTTTCTACTGTAGAAGCCAGTGTGTATCAGATGTTGGCTATCAATGCAAAGATTTGTCCCACCCAATTCGTACCGAAAATTGGATCGAATCGTTTTAGAAAGTTAATGAAAGATTCCAAGTTTACAATAAAATCAGAGGATTTTAAAATAATGAAGAAAAGAAACAGAAATCATAAAAGATTTGGAATACCTTACAAGCAAAATATTGGAAAAAATAAAAGAGTCAGAAACATGTCTTGTTTCCAGGTTTGAAAATACCGACAGTAATTCAGTTAAATGGATGGACGCAAATCCAATTGACAGTTATGTTAAAAGCGCGTGGGGATGTCAAGAACAATGTTCATTTTGTGGTGAACCATGTCCACAAACTGAAGATCATTTTGAATCTAACAAATCTCACACCTGCATACAACATCGACCCCTTTGCTGCATAGGCAATCGAAGCTTGGATAATGAATTGGCATGTCTGGAATCGTGTGAATTTCTTATTCAAACAGATGATGTACACACGTGCGGTCTCTTTAATTACGCCTGCAATAACGAGAAAAGAGAAAAGTGCGATCAGAAACATCGCTTCAACGAGTATAAAAAACATTTAAAAGATTGGTATATAGCACCATCATCTAATATGCATGACAATTCTGTATATTGGATGTGGTTTGTTGCGAATTTCAAAGAGGAGTTGGAAGAATATCATGAATATAAGTTGAGTAATATACCTCCCTCTTGGAAGGATATAACAGATGATCAAGCATTGGAAAGTCTTTTAAATATATATCCCACTGAAATGATCTAATTGCAATTGAAACAAAAATTAAAGTTGTGACATGTAAATGAGTATGCGTTAAGAAAACTTATAAACTAAAATAGAGAGCAGTTTAAGTGATTTATTTTTTCTAAGTAACTACATTTTTCGATAATGAATCAAATAACTGTTTAGTTATGCAAAAGACTTATCACGCTTGTACAAAACTTTAAAATTTGTCTTCAAGCTATATCTATCTTATTCGATGTAGCTCTTTTTCATCAAATTTTACAGCAAATCATTTGCAACGGTCATTTTGATGACATAATTTCATATGTCATAGCTTAGTTGTGTCGGTTTTAATTGCTGATAAAGAGGACGAACGTAGAAAATTGTTCAGCAAGTCTCTCCTCAATCAAACCATATTGGGTTTTGAATAAGCAGTTTGTTTCTTTGAATATTTTTTATTTTTTTGTTATTGAAACCTTTTTTAATTATATTTTTAAATTTATTTTAATCTAAATAAAATTTACATTGTTCTTTTTATGTTATGAAAATATAAAATGTATGTTCAGTATGACGGAAATAATTTTCATATAATGTCGCGATACCTTAAATTATGTAATTATGTAATGCGGCAACAACTTACGTGTGTTCGCTTTATCTTTGTTATGCTTTTTGAAGAGCGAAAGAATGAAGACAATTATAATATGACCATTTAATTGTTGAGCTTTCGGTCATTAACCATGCTTTCACATTTTCATTTTTGAATAGCGAACATTTTTTTCTCCCCAGTAATTAACTACCCATCATGAATACTTGCCTGTTCAATAGCAGGTCAAATTATTATTTAACAGCAACGCACTTGCCGTTCTTAATCCCTCCCAGTATATCATATATTATTGTTAGGATGTATAATTATGCTGGAATCAAAAATACCAGGATTTCCCTCATGTTATTTTCACACCCAGTTACTAAGTTACAGTATATGAAACAATATTGCTGTTATTTTGTAATGAGTTATTCTCAGTTGAAAATGAATTCGCTATTTGCCGAAAGTTTTTACAGTCACTGTGTATATATAGTCTAACACTGTTTTCCTTCGCATTCGTGTTGTTTTGGGGTATTTTTTGTATAATATTGCACGCTTTCTCGTTCAAAGTTTTTATTTAATCACAAAGGTCTACGCCTTACAAATTAAATAACAGCGCATGTGAAATTCGAGCCGTGCTATATAGCACTTTACATCATGATAATTATTGTTATTATCGTTAAACCTTTCTCTTGAAATTTATAAAATAAAGTTAGAGTACTAAGTTTCATTTCATTTTGTTTTAGACCATGTATTATCAGCGATCAGGCTTTACTTATTTAGAAATCAGTATGCAACATAACATTCACCAGGTAAAATGTCAATATATATTTTATAATAATGTGGTTATATTTATACTATAACTTATGTTAAAATGATAAAAAGGCTATTATTGTTGATTTTCGGTTTGCTTTGTTTAGAAAAAAGATAAGATATATGTAAATGTAATATTTAGATAAGTTGCATGCTTGGTAATTGCGATTTAATAACTAGGCAATGTGTGACAACCCTTTTCCAAGAAAATGTTAGCCTTAGCAATAAAATGTTAATAATGTACATGCTTATTTTTAATTATTACCATTATTTTTCGTTTGTTTATAATATGTTTGCCTTTTGGGGGATTTGCTTGGACATTGTTTATTTGTTGATTTGTATTATTGTTTATCTTATTACGTATCGATAACATTACTCTTTAGCACAGCTAGTTGAAGAATTGTGGGACCTTCCTGTACACCTCAGCAGTGTATCTGTAAGCAAAGAAAATTCCAAGTAAAAATTTGTTATACATGTTTCTGTGACTTATTAAGTTCATGATCAGAATTGCAAATCATTGTTTTAAACTTAAACAAAAGTGTGCAGTTAATTAAATATGGGCTAATTGTGAAGTTTGTAGATTTTGAAATTTCTGTCCTATCTCGGGCTGTACGTGTGCTTGCTCTTGTTTTTTTGTTTTGTTTTTTTTTAAAATTTATTGCAATCATTTTGTGCAGCATATATGCTGGTTACACTTTATTAATATACAGTAAAATGTATGGTTTTAAATAAATTTTTAATTCATTTAACAATTTTCATCAAAAGCCTCAATTTGAAAATTCATGTATTAATAAATGTACAGCTTTGAGAATAGCTTCACTACAAAATCATTATTAACGAAATGGCCAGTTCAAAATGGTATAAATTTATTCCGAACCAGATATTATTATTAGATAGTCTCCTATTAATTGGTAAATGTTATAGATACAGAAACGACAATACCAAAAGAAAAAGAAAACGTTAAAAAGAATAACAGTAGGAAATAATGTACAGCACTTTAAAATGGTTCTACATTTTCATAGTTTATATTGATGAAGTAGTTTTATATTGACTGTATAAACTTTTAGATGTGTATTACCAAAACTAGCTGAAGAAAGATTTTTTAACATATTTAAGATTATATTCCAAAACTAGCTGTTTTTGTATAAATATATTTAAGATAGATTTTAATATACTAAAGATTATTCGTTTGTTCTGTAAACATGTATTATTTTCATCATGTTTAATATATCCTTCATGATTTCTAATTATTACTGCATTTTGTTTTCTATTATCCTACTATGATTCTTATTTCCTTTTTTATTTTTACTTCCTCCATTAATCTTAGTGTACATGTTTTCTAATTATCTGTAATCGTCTAAATTTGATTTTCTTGTAAATAACAAGTTCTGTAGAACAACACCCTTTGAGATACATATTTTCTTCGTAAGAGGTGTTGCCTTTGAAAGGTTGCAGAAGTTCTTACAATATCTATGGTCCAATATCATGTTGAATTATATAGATAGTATTCAAATGATATACAGGGGTCAAATTTTGAATCTATTACATGATAGTTTGCTTCTGAACAACAAAAAAACAATTGAGATAAGAACTTTATTATCACTAGTAATTAAAAACAAATTTATATTATATTACTATTATTATTACAATACGCAGCTTGTAATGGAAAAATGTGTTTTATTATACTAAATAAAGTGTGTGCTAGTGTAAGACAATATTCTTTGTTTTCAATTTACCCTATTACAGTATATGATTATAAATGATAACAGAATGATAAACGTTATGAGTAGGCACTGCAACAGTGTACAGATAAAGAATGATAATAGTAAAAGATGAAATGAACATTTTACAGCCTGCTGAATAGGATTGATGTCGATGTAAGGGTTAATATGCAGTGGACAGCGCAAGCTATCACCTTAATATCCTTTATCACCTTAGGGTCAGCATGTTTACCGTAACTAACACTTTTTGCAAATTGTTCAGAATACTTTGTTTCTTGCTACCATAACAACCTGACGGAAACCTTCCCTCATCGGTGTCAGCATAAGCATTTATTAAACGTTACAATAGGGCTACGTTTTCTTGTGTCACATACGAAAGACCGGTCGGAACATATATATCAACTTCATGAATTCTCGATTTCATCTTCGTGTATTCACAATTCTGACTGTGAAATCACGTTTTCAGCATACGGAGTTTTCGAATTCACGATTTCAACTTCATTAGAATTCACAATTTCAACTTCACTAATTAAACTTCATGAATTCAACTTCGTGGATTCACGATTTCAACTTGAAAATAAAATTCTAAATTCTTTATGTTGAAATCGTGAAGTTAAAAGAATGTATTCATAAAGTTGAAATCGTGAATTCATGAAGATAAAATCGTGAATTCGAGAAGTTGAAATAGTGATTTCACGAAGCTAAAATAGTAAAGTTTTAAACGTGAATTTGCGATGTTGAATTCATTTTGAAATCCTGATTTCGTGAAATTTGTTTGTTGAAATCGTGAATTCATGAAGTTGAAATCATAAACTCGTGAAGATGAACCCGAAGTTGAAATGTCACTACCGGTCTTTCATAGTAACGCAATGAAAAGTGCTCTACTGGCTAATGGACAATAAATAGACAGGTAATTGTAATATATGAGTATTAGAAGAGCATCGAAATGCGAGGTTATCTGATTTGTAAAAGGGGGCAAAACACCTGTATATAAATCAGATTGCCAAGTGTTTTGATGTTCTTTCTCTTATGTATCATAGGCAAGAATAAAAAACATGTTCCCTCTTTTCACAATATGAAACCCCAGGAAAAAAGTAACCAATGAACCAGCATCTAAATATGACATTTTTATTTTTATCCCCTTTTCTGTCGACACATTAAATAACCCACAGAAAAAGAGCCAGAGAATGAGCATTCTCTGGAGTGCAGTACTCCAGTTAACGCACTGTGCGTGTATTTGTATATGATTTAACTCTGACACATTTTAACAGAAAGGTCCTCAAACTATGATGCAAGTATTGAAATGACATTATTTGACAAGTTTCTTTTACCGGTTTGCATCTCACTCTTTTCAAGACATGCTGTCTTAGATTTTGACAGAAGATTGGATCAGTCTTGTTGACATAATTTATACGCCTATTAATTTTATATATCAAGTATTGGCATTTCCAAAGAGCTTGGAATCGTTGTTCAGCCATGAATATAGAAATGATATTTCATTTCTTGTCTAATACATTTATTGTATGTGATCAACGCACTAAGACAACAAAAATACTTGATTTACTCAACCAATCCATTCTAGTCAAAATATTTTACCGTGCTAAGCGAGATTCTGAGATATTTTCTGTTCTGGGAGTTATCACATGGTGCAGCGATTTGTCTTTGATGTTACTCAGCTGTATTACGCCAGTAATATGCTTTATTTGTAATAACTCACAGTGCGATATATCAGATAACGCATACTTCTTTAGAAAAAGAGTACGTTATTTCAAATAAAGCATCGTTATCTTCGAAGTACACTGGGTTCATGTATAACCGTGAGCGTAGACAAATACCTTTACTGGACGATGCCAACATTTAGGCTGGAAAAAAACAACAAATATATGCAGATTGGAGAAAGATAATGGGGTACAGGAGATATAGCTGTCAATTTAGAAAAAGTTTTGTATGGGGCTTGAACGCAATTCTTTAACAACCTTTTAATCCTTTTCCTGTAATGAGGTACTAACAATAATTATTTCCATTGAAACAGATTTAAAATCCATGTTTTGACATGTCATTAAAACAAATGCTGATCAAACGACGGTTAGCGTTATACTAGCGAGTCGCAACTATTTACTGCAATGCTTTTTAAATGCTTTTTTCTGATATTTCAATAATGCAACTCCGTATTTATGAAAATTTTTATAACAATGACATACATAACATATTTATGCCTTTTATTTTCAAATTTCATTATAAAAAGAAACGAAAAACAACTCTGTAAGGGTTTGCCTAAAATACAAAAGTGACTTTTTGACGAAAGTGAGCGAAAATGACTTATAAAAGTTTGTAGACGTATAATATTAGAAACTTATTAAATTTATTATCATAAAAAAACAGTATGATAATAAATTGCTATTTATTTGCAAAATTTCTATACTGTACACAAGTTCTGAGATCTTCCTTTCGCTCACATTGAAAAATACGAAAGTCTCTTATAAAATATTAAATATAGCGTTTAAATTAAAATTTATATTAAAATTGCAGTTTGTAGACGTATATTATCAGAAATTGATAATATTTATTCTACAAAATAATTATTATGATGATTTAATCGCCATTTATTTTGCATTATCTCTATACACAAGTTCTGAGATCTTCCTTTCGCTCACATTGAAAAATACAAAAGTGACTTATAAAATATCAAATAAAGCGTTTAAATTGAAATCTATACTTATATTACAGTTTGTAGACGTATATGTTATCAGAGTTTTTTTTATAAAATAATTATTTTGATGATTTAATCGCCATTTATTTTACATAATTTCTATACACAAGTTCTGACATCTTCCTTTCACTCACATTGAAAAATACAAAAGTGACTTATAAAATATCAAATAAAGCGTTTAAATTGAAATTTTTACTAATTTTGTAGTTTGAAGACGTATATTATTAAAAATAGATAATATTTATTTTCAAAAATAATCATCATGATGATTTTTACCCCATTTATTTTTATGATTTTTATATTCAAGCTCAGCGATCTTAAGGTCGCTCACATTGAAAAATATGAAAGTGACTAGCGTTGAAATTGAAATTTATACTAAAATTGCAGTTTGTAGACGTATTTTTCATAAATGAATGATCATTTTTTTTAAACATAATGATTATGATGATTTATAATTATTATCAAATTATTCGCATAATTTCTATACTGTATATATGTTCAGAGATCCTCATTTCGCTCACAGAGAACAATACGAAATTCTATTTTAAAGACCCTGGCTAGATATAACTTTTCATTATCGAATCTCTCCAAAACGACCTGATAATTATTTTTTGTTCTGACATTCTTTTCCTTCTATCAATTCTTTTAACATCATTTACTTTTGTTTAGCCTATAATGAACTATTTTGCAAATTTTAGCGCCGTGTAACCTATGACAGTGACTAAGCCGGACAGACCGTATACCAAATTTTATTCAATGCGGTGTAGACGCCATTTCATTTCTCTACAGGTGGAAATGAAACTCGATTTTTCTCTCCCTATAAGTATTTCATTTAATTAGCAATACTCTATATTTGTTTATCTTGCAGAGCTTATGTGGTTTATTTTTATTAACTTCTTAAAAAACAAAATGTTCGATGGTGATAAAGATTGGGATAGTCTCTTATTCGGATAGTCTCTAATTCGGATACACAATGTCTTTTTCAATGATAGAATTTGCATAATGTCTTTTTTAATCATATAAAAGGCATCTATCTTGCATTAATGACAAACCCATAGTCACTCCGATCATTATTTATTCGATCCATGTGCTTAATTAACAAAAATTCATCTTTCATACAAATAAAACAACAAATCATAATCATGAGGCACAAAATACAGTGAACTCGACAGTTCCGGGTCAGTAACGAAATTACCGAAGCGTGACTCTTTGAAACGAAAGTTGAGAGAAACTAAACTGCATAAATTGTGCAACAAATACTTCCTCCTTACTATGATATAATTCAACAATTCTAATAATTTGGTAAACTTATTTTTCAGAGTCTACACCTGCCCGCTGTAAATTTGACAGTTTCGGGTCGCACTTGCCATTTCCGGGTCACGTGATAAAATGTTTATATTTGTCTTCGGGGGGCATCTCAAACGATGTTATATTCAACAAAACAGCTGTCATAATAACAACACTTTTATTCAGCATTTTTTTGTTCAATATAAAAATAAAATGCAAATGAAAGAGGTAGAATATATCACAGGCAAAGAAAGAACAAAAATCACCTGCAATTACTTATTGCATATAAAAACAAAAATTATTGCATATAAAAACATGGAAAGAAAAAATAGACTGCAAGACATGTATTAAACCACGAGTGGAAAAATTAAAAATCACAGTAAGTTAACATGGAATTAGTAATATCTAGGGTCACAATATGTTGAATATTAAATAACTTTATACATACAAAGGCTGCTACTTATATATCACCAACATACAATATGTTGAATATTAAATAACTTTATACATACAAAGGCTGCTACTTATATATCACCAACATTTCACTGAAGTCAGTGTTTATTACTCTTAACTGAGACATAACCTCATTAATGTTTTGTTTTGTAAATATAAAATATGTTGCAGGAATAACCACTCCCTTGCCTTCTTCATTTTGTGAATTAGGTATTGGTTCTCCTGTGGCCTCAGCAAATATATTACTGCCTTCATCTAATACAGAACGAAACAACCCTGCCAAAGACCTAGGAACATGCCCTACAGACAGATAAGCAATATCAAATAATTTAAAAAAATGTTTGGCATCTGTTACCATTGAGTGCATATTTTCATTGAACTGGTCTAATGGTGGTACCCACACCAAACAAGCATTAATGTCTTTAATATTTGTGTATTCTCTATGTAATAGAAAGAGCATCGACACAATATAAAACCCCACAAAAAAGTAACCAATGAACTAGCATCTGAATAGGATATTTCCATCGCTTTCCCTTTCTCTGTCGTCACAATATGACTGTAAACCCCGGACAAAATGAACCAATCAATGGGCATGCTCTGGAGTGCGGGTAACTAATACCTGCACTCCAGTTAACGCACTGTGCATGTATATGTATACGATTTAACTCTGTCACATTTTCAACAGAAAGGTCCCCAAACTATGATACAACAACTCTTTAGCGCATTGGAGGTACTGTATATGGTGGCCGAATCTTGTAAGCATGGTACCCCTTGATAACTGATTTCTGTATCTCAATGACTGAAATATCTGGTCTATGATCATGACTGATACACTCTCTGAACATCTTGACTGTTGATCGTGTTCAACTGGATCATTTATCAGCTGAAATAAAAAAGTAATACAGTGCTATACTATTTTTTCTACTAAGAGCTGTCACATTCATTTTACAAATGCTGCACTTTGCACCACCGAAGTTATAACTATATTATTTTTTATAATCCAATTAAAGTAAATACACAGCTGAGAAAAAGAGTAACATGCTGACAGATGGACAAGCTAGTGTAAGTATACTAAGAGTGCAACTACTTTATTTCCAATTACAGAACATACAGAATATATATTATAATCTTGTGAAAAACTTTATCTCACTTAAGAAATATGTTTTAAAACAAATATTAACATCTTCAGTGTACAATCAGGACACTGGAATGGTTCATCTTCTGCAACAGGATCTGCAATGTGAACAACAGGTATGTTACGTTTTCTCTTCGGGGCCATATTCCTAAAAAAAAGATCAATGTTATATTTATTTATACAGTGAATATAAAATGAAGCCAGCCCACCCCCACCCCCCCAATAAAAAAGAAATTCAAACAAACAACATCAACAAGTAAAACCCTACAAAAATCACTTGAAAAACACACATAAAAATACATTTTGTTATCTAAGTACTGAAACAATATCAAAAACATACAACTTTTCAAGACTCTGGTTGAAACCATTGTAACAGTTCTATACAGAGGACACCATCCACATTTAAAGCATATCAAAATATATGTAAACACAAGTTTAATTGAGTCAGTAACAAGGATTCACCTTAAATATATCACTATATACATTTAATTACTCTTAAAAGTTACCAAAATCGTTTTTGAAAGACATTCCTAATTTTGAGAATTTCCCTCTGGCTGACCCGAAATTGGCATATGTAAACTAGGTCATATTGTCTGCTAGTTCTTCATAAAGACGTTTGACAAAAGCGATGAAAGTTTTTAATCTTGTTCAGTGGTAAATAATCTTCAAATAATTGTGCAAAACATACCTGTATTACTTAAATTATTGATACAAATAACAGTTTTTGCGGTGGCATGTAAACAAATAATATCTGCTTTCACTTTCGTGGGAAATGATGCCGTCAAGCGTTTCGTGATTGCGACATCCATTCTTCAAATGACAACATCCGAAATCAACGTGAAAGTAGCTAAGTTATTAGTCAATATGACTTGATTATAAAATTAATGAAAAACTAAATCATTTCCAAATAATAAACATATTTTTCTGAATGTGACCCGGAATTGTCGACGACCCGGAACTGTCGAGTTCACTGTAATATGCAGGTTCGACTTCCATATAATTTTGAAAAGTGCCGTACGGCTAGACAATACAGTGAGTCCTGGGTAGTCGTACGTGACTCACGTACGGCTAGAACTTTTGGCTAGCCGTACCGGCCCATACGGCGGTAGTCAGACTATTCTCTCCCTTACCAGTTCCTCCCCTGACGTTTCCTCCCTGACAGTTCTCTCCCTATTTTGGGGGAGAACCGTCTGCATATTTGCAAATAAGCAGACAGTTCCTCCCCATTTTTAGCTCACCTGAGCACAAAGTGCTCAAAGGTGAGCTTTTGTCATCACTCTGCGTGCGTCGTGCGTTCTTCAAAAAATGGCGTCAAACTTTTCAAACAACATCTCCTCCTAAACCACATGGCCAATTGCAACCAAACTTTACAGAAATGATCCTTAGGTGGACCCCTTTCAAAGTTGTTCAAAAATTTAAATTCCATTAAAAACTCTGGTTGCCATGGCAACCAGTCAGAAAAACTTAAAAAATCTTCTTCTAAAAAACCCTAAGAGCTAGAGCTTAGATATTTGGCATGAAACATCTTCTAATAAGTGCCTACCAAGTTTGTTCAAATAAAAGCCCTGGGGTCAAAATTGACCCCGCCCCAGGGGGTCATTGATTTTCCCTATATGTATATAGTAAAAACTTAAAAAATCTTCTTTAAAAAAACCCAAATAGCTGGAGTTTAGCTATTAAGCATGAAACATTTTCTAGTGAGTGTCTACAAAGTTTGTTCAAATAAAAGCCCTGGGGTCAAAATTGGCCCCGCCCCGGGGGTCATTGATTTTCCTTATATGTGTATAGCAAAAACTTAAAAATCTTCTTTGAAAAAACCTAAATAGCTAGAGTTTAGATATTAAGCATGAAACATCTTCTAGTAAGTGTCTACCAAGTTTGTTCAAATAAAAGACCTGGGGTCAAAATTGGCAACGCCCCAGGGGGTCTTTGATTTTCCCTATATGCATATAGTAAAAACTTAAAAATCTTCTTTTAAAGAACCCAAAGAGCTAAAGCTAAGATATTTAGCATGAAACATCTTCTAATGAGTGTCTACCAAGTTTGTTCAAATAAAAACCCTGGGGTCAAAATTGGCCCCGCCCTAGGGGGTCAATGATTTTCCCTATATGCATATAGTAAAAACTTAAAAAATCTTTTTTGAAAAAATCCAAATAGCTGGAGGTTAGATATTAAGCATACATACTTACATATACAACCAAGTTTGTTCAAATAAAAGCCCTGGGGTTTAAACTGGCCCCGCTCTGGGGGCCTATATACAGGTGAGCGACTTTGGGCCATCATGGCCCTCTTGTTATTTTTATTAATACATTATTATTGAAGTATTTAAATGTTTAATAACTGGAAAAGTTTATTATTAAATTATAATATTAATTGATATAAATTAGAGAAAAAATATTTTATTGGAGTATTTAGCTATACTGGTCGGGGACCATCAACCGGACACTTTTTTAAACATTTTTCCATACAGATTTCATTATGTCAAACCTGGAGACCTAAAAATTTGACACAGTACAGCTAGGTTCTTCTCCTAACTAACAAACTACTTTGTTTATTTCTGATTGTATTGACATATGTTTCTGAGGCTCGTCCAGGAGGGTATCAAAATTACCTAAATTTTCTACACTACAGTACCATGTGTCCGGACAGATAAGTACACGACGTGATTTCATTCAGATAAAAACTCGGGTGTTTTTCGTTTTGATTTTTAACATGATATACAATATTTCAGCAACAAATACTGAAGTTTTGGATATTCTATTGTTTACTCTGCAAATGATTATAGCTGGTATATGAGATCAGGCATTGCTTTCTTGACGCCCAAATTTCAATTTCGGCTAGCCACTTCCATTTTCAAAATTAATTACTGTAGATCTAGTCCTAATCTAACTGCAAGACCGACCGACTTTACAAACTGATCTTACACATAAGTAAATGTGACCATCATCTATATAATTAGCCCTAAAGGGCACAATTTGTTGGGCTAGTTATAATCTTACTCTGTTTACTGCCACTGTAAATGGTAGAGTCAGCTCGGCCCTTTACAAACTCAGCATGTGTCAACTCCGCCCTATAATGAATATCTGTTGGGATATAGATTGTTAATGAACTTTTAAAGGAGTAAAATCACTACTAAGTATACGATAATTTAGAATAAGGATCACCATCAAATCAGCAAAAAGAAATTGAAAAAGTTGGTAGCGTATTAAATTGTTTGAAATTATCTTTGTTTAGAAGCACAGACTTTAATTGACAATAATTTAATGTAATAAAGTGTTTAGGAGACATTTTAGGACAAGAGTTAGATGTATTTACGATTGAGTAATAACTACCGTAAAATTCCTATTAAATGCCCCTGGGGGGGGCTAAACATTTTCCAAAAGGGGGGCCATTATCACAACACAGTTTTTCCTAAATCCAAAAATCATTGTAAATACATTTAGTGTTAGCAAGTGTTGGTAATAACATTAAAAAGTGTTAAGATTTTTAAGTTCATACTATAAAATTAAATGGATTCTGAAAGATTTGAATGAAATTATGGATTTACTCACGAGTTCAGCACTGATGAGTAGATTGTTTTTCTTCCCAGGCCTTTATTAGGGGAGGGGCGTTTATTAGGAATTTTACGGTAATTTTTTTGTTATTCTGTAGAATAACAAACATTTAAGATTAATAATGATATGCTCAAAATGCTTTACATACATATATGATATCATAAAATCTATTATTTTCAACACCTTATTGCATTAAATATTAGATTTCATAATGGATTATTGTTACCTGGCTTAACTAAGAAAAGGTATAAATCATAAACAAGGCTAAGTTTCATTAATAATTTTTGAATGAAAAGGTTTTTTTTACTTTATGATTTCAGTAAAAAATATAAATGTTTTTAAAAGTATTTACTCTATGACATTAAAGTTACAATTATGTACTTTTTCAGGGCTTCCATTAATGGAAGGTTGGGAGTCATTAATTTACTCCTTGACTCTGGCTTGTGATTTCTAAAATTCAAAGCTTTTTCTTCTTTACCGTTATAATGTCTCTGACTTCCAAAATTTGAAACTTAATGTAAGCCCTGCTTTTTGTTATACACTTTATTTAGTATTAAGATTTTCATTACAAATGAAAGAAATATATATTTTCCTTTGTATTTCAGGTTTGAGCCAATTGATAGCTATTGGATAGATTGTTGTCACCATGCCTGATGTTGAGGTAGGTGTTACAGGGGAAATCCTAATCCTTATACCACAAGAATTAGGGTGTCACGGTTACAGAAAATGATATCCCTTATAAACAATGACCTAAAAACCGTGTTAAACGTTTAACCGACCATACTTATAAAATGCGGGGCGTCTGTGGTCGAGTGGTTAACCCTTTCCCCTATGAGCATATTGTGAAAAATGGCCATTTTCACTGAAAAGCCTCCTCTTACAAGTTCAAACTGCTATGAAACTATGAAAAATGCTTCAATACTAATCAAACTTGGCACAAATGTTGACTGGACCATTGCCTTTGTAACGACATGCTCAGTCTTAAATTTCCTGTTACCATGGCAACGAGGGGACATCTCAAAATTGCCAAAAATCACTATTTTGCCTCGATTTTTTCCATCAAAATTTATTTCAAAGTGCTGCAACTTCTCAAGGTATTGAGATATAGTCAAAGGCTTTTCAGCGTTGGTTACACGTTACCTTATGATCGACCTGGGGTCATTTTAAGCCTCTCACAAGTCCAAAATTTTCTTGGCGATGAGGGGGACTCTGCCCCCCCCTTCAAATCCCCCAAACAGAATCGGGCACATCCCCCTTCTGGCAACCCCCTGATGTATCTTTTGGATTGGGGGCAGCGCCTAAAAAGTGCTCATTTTTTTAGCAACGTTTCTCAAACGAAAACATGTGTTTGGGGCCCAAATAGGACATTTTTTCACTATTTCATGCCTAAAAAAGGGTGGCGATCGAAAGTGTGTTGTTTCGCGTATATATGAGGTAAAGGGTTAACAAAAAATTATGAAAAACTTTGGAATCACCCAAAATCTAGTTTTTCCATATTAACATGATTGTGGTCTTTTATCTAATTTTGGTGAAAAATTGTTATTTTGTAACTTATATATTTTTTTTAGTTAACCCTTTCCCCCATGAGCATATTGTGAAAAATGGCCATTTTCACTGAAAAGCCTCCTCTTACAAGTTCAAACTGCTATGAAACTATGAAAAATGCTTCAATACTAATCAAACTTGGCACAAATGTTGACTGGACCATTGCCTTTGTAACGACATGCTCAGTCTTAAATTTCCTGTTACCATGGCAACGAGGGGACATCTCAAAATTGCCAAAAATCACTATTTTGCCTCGATTTTTTCCATCAAAATTTATTTCAAAGTGCTGCAACTTCTCAAGGTATTGAGATAGAGTCAAAGGCTTTTCAGCGTTGGTTACACGTTACCTTATGATCGACCTGGGATCATTTTAAGCCTCTCACAAGTCCAAAATTTTCTTGGCGATGAGGGGGACTCAATCCCTTTCAAACCCCCCAAACAGAAGGGTGCACATCCCCTTTCTGGCAACCCCCTGATGTATCTTTTGAATGGGGGGCGGCGCCGAAAAAGTGCTCATTATTTTTAGCAACATTTCTCAAACGAAAACATGTGTTTGGGGCCCAAATAGGACATTTTTTCACTATTTCAGGCCTAAAAAAGGGGGGGGGGGGTCGAAAGTGCGTTGTTTCGCGTATATATGAGGTAAAGGGTTAAGGTCGTTGACTTCAAACCACTTGCCCCTCACCGCTGTGAGTTCGAATTCCAACAGGGACTTTGGATTCATTCATGTGAGGAAGCTGTCCAACTAGCTTACAGATTGTTGGTGTATCTACTTGGGTGCCGGTTTGTGCCAGAAATAATGTACAGAAGGGCACCTGAGTTCTTTCTCCACCAGTAAAGCTGGAACATCACCATATGGCCTATACTGTGTCTGTGTGACATAAAACCCAATCAAGGAAACAAACAAATACTAATAAAATCCTTAGATTTTTAACATTAACATTGCTTCTTTATGACAAAATGTGACATATTTGTCTTAAAATGAGTGCATATAATTATCCGAATACATGTATTGAGTTGAATATTATTAGGGTCGTACCATACTGGATCAGATCAGAAAAAATAGATTATTGAGTAAAACTTTTTTTTTCTTGTAAAGAAACATTTAGATAATATTAAGAATCAATCAAAAACTAACCTCAGTTACCGGTTATTGAATTTTCTAATAGGTTTTAAACTTAAAATCAACCTTACCCTTTTAAACAGATAAACGTGACACCCCTAACAAGAATAGAGCCACTGGTCAGGTAGCACATCATTCTTTTTAGCTCACCTCACAAAGTGACAGGGTGAGCTTTTGTGATCGCTTTTCGTCCGGCGTCCGGCCGTCCGTAAACTTTTACTTTAAATGACATCTCCTCATAAACCCCTGAGCCAATTTCATCCAAACTTCACAGGAATGTTCCTTTGGTGGTCACCTTTAAAAATTGTTCGAAGAATTTAATTCCATGCAGAACTTTGGTTGCCATGGCAACCAATAGAAAAAACTTAAAATATCTTCTTTTAAAAAACCCAAAGAGGTAGAGCTTAGATATTTGGCATGAAACATCTTCTAGTGAGTGTCTATCAAGTTTGTTCAAATAAAAGCCCTGAGGTCAAAATTGGCCCCGCCCCAGGAGGTCATTGGTTTTCCCTATATGCATATAGTAAAAACTTATAAAATCTTCTTTTAAAGAACCCAAAGAGCTAGAGCTAAGATATTTAGCATGAAACATCTTCTAATGAGTGTCTATCAAGTTTGTTCAAATAAAAGCCCTGGGGTCAAAATTGGCCCCGCCCCAGGGGGTCATTGATTTTCCCTTTATGCATATAGTAAAAACTTATAAAATCTTCTTTTAAAGAACCCAAAGAGCTAGAGCTAAGATATTTAGCATGAAACATGTTCTAATGGGTGTCTACCAAATTTGTTCAAATAAGAGCCCTGGGGTCAAAATTTGCCCTGCCCGGGGGGTCATTGATTTTCCTTATATGTGTAAAGCAAAAACTTAAAATTAAAAATTCTTTGAAAAAAAACCCAAATAGCTAAATTTAGATACTAAGCATGAAACATCTTCTAGTGAGTGTCTACAAAGTTTTTTCAAATAAAAGCCCTTGGGGTCAATATTGGCCCTGCCCCATGGGGCATTGATTTTATTTATGTGTATAGCAAAAACTTATAAAATCTTCTTTGAAAAAACCTAAATAGCTAGAGTTAAGATATTTAGCATGAAACTTCTTCCAGTTAGTGTCTTCAAAGTTTGTTCAAATAAAGCCCTAGGGTCAAAATTGGCCCGGCCCTTTGGGACATTGATTTTCCTTATATGTGTATAGCAAAAACTTAAAAATCTTCTTTAAAAAAAAAACCGAATAGCTAGAGTTTAGATATCAAGCATGAAACATCTTCTAGTGAGTGTCTCCAAAGTTTGTTCAAATAAAAGCCCTGGGGTCAAAACTGGCCCCTCCCTAGGAGTGTCATTGCTTTTAACTATATGTGTATAGTTAAAACTTAAAAAATCTTTTTCTAAAAAACTCAACAAGCTAGACCTTAGATGTTTAGCGTGAAATATCTTCTAATGGGTGTCTACCAAGTTTGTTCAAATAAAAGCCCTGGGGTTTAAACTGGCCCCGCTCAGGGAGCCTATATACAGGTGAGCGACTTCAGGGCCATCATGGCCCTCTTGTTGTGTCGCCTCTACGGAGTAGTGGCGACATATAGGGATCACTTCTCCGTCGTCTGTCTGTCCGTCTGTCTGTCTGTCTGTCCGTCCGTCCGTCACAAAACTTGACCGGACTACTCCTCATAAACTACTGGTGCAATTTCATCCAAACTTTACAGGAATGATCAGTACCAAGTCTAGTTGTGCATATTGTCAGGATTTTCCGGTTCAATGATTTTTGTCAGAGTTATGGCCCTTTAATAATTTTTAATTTTAAAGTTTGTCCGGACTACTTCTCTTATACCACTAATGCAATTTCAATGAAACTTTACAGGATTGATCTGTAGCTTGAGTCCTTGCGCATATTGCATGGGTTTTCCGGTTAAATGATTTTTGGCCGAGTTATGGCCCTTTGATAAAAAGGTTTCTTTTTCTGTGTGTTGCCAGATACACAAAAGCTTGTCCGGACTACTCCTCATAAACTACTGGTGCAATTTCATCCAAACTTTACACGAATGATCAGTACCAAGTTTAGTTGTGCATATTGTCAGCATTTTCCGGTTCAATGATTTTTGTTTGAGTTATGGCCCCTTTAAAAATTTTTATTTTTAAAGTTTGTCCAGACTACTTCTCTTAATACCACTTAATGCAATTTCAATGAAACTTTACAGGATTGATCTGTAGCTCAAGTCCTTGCGCATATTGCACGGGTTTTCCGGTTGAATGATTTTTGGCCGAGTTATGGCCCTTTGATAAAAAGGTGTTTTTTTCTGTGTGTTGCCAGATACGCAAAAGCTTGTCCGGACTACTCCTCATAAACTACTGGTGCAATTTTATCCAAACTTTACAGGAATGATCAGTACAAAGTGGTTAGTCTAGTTGTGCACTGTCCGTCTGTCTGTCCGTCTGTCACAAAATTTGTCCCAACATGAAATTGGCCATCATGAGGCGACACATGTGATTACTGATCGCTCTTGTTTTATATTGTTGGCCACCTCAATTAAATGAATAATTTTGGTCTCTCCAAAAATGGAAGCTGGATAAGCCAGTGCATTAAAGAAATCATTGGTTCCAACATTTCTGGTCACCTGATTCTTTTTACATGTTAACATATTTCCAAAAATTAAACAATATCTGGAAAAAACAGTTTCCATTTGATAATTAAAGGGAAAAAATGTATTAAAAATTCAAAATCAGCGCTGTTGTTATAGAATGAAATCATATGAAATTTTATTTTTTCAGGTGTTTTCACAAGTGACTGCTTTCCTGTCAGATTCTATTGTTGAACTGATTCCTGGTGACAAAGAAGATTTCCTTAGCAACCAGTTGGGGTCATTGAGTGTACTTGTGCATCAGCAGCCAGATAAAAACTTACTCTGTCTCACCGGAAAGCTTGAAGCTATTTATAGCTCAAAGCAAGTGTTAGAAAACAAGCTTCTGTTCAAGCATTTTTATGATCAGACAGAAAGTCCTAAAGATAGTTTCCCTAGTAACAGAAGTGTATCTTCAGATATACAAGTAGATGTAAAAGAAGAAAATGTTGAAGGTATTTCAGCACAGTCAGGAGAACCTGATGATGGATGCCATAGCAACAGAAGAGTATCTACAGATTTAGATGTAAAAGAAGAAGTATTGGTAACACAGTTGAAAGACATTCATAAAAACATTAAAGATGACCTGATAAAAAAGGTCCAAAAACCCTCAGATATCAGTAATAAAGTCTCTAAAAAAGATGTCAAAGTGTTCATTACAAAAAGTGGAAGGGAGATAAAAATACCAGCAAATCTTTCCAACTATAAAAGTACATTGCTTGATCAGGATGATAATATAGACAATGCAGAAAATGACTTTTATTCTGGCAGTGTGCCAAAACGAAGATCCAAAAGAAAAGTAGGAAGACCAAGAAAAATTGTTAAAGAAACAAAGCTGCCAAGAGCAGACGAGAATGATGTAGATAAAGTGGATGATGTAAAAGATGAAATTAAAGAAGAAACGGAGACCACTGTTGGCAATGTGTATTTAAATAAGGGGGAGAGAACCCAGATTAGGAAGAAATATATATATGAAGAGGCATTGCTCGGAACGAAAGGAATTAAAAAGTATTATGAAGATCGACTACCGTTTAAGTATTTCTGTCAGGTTTGTTCGTTTAAAAGTAAGCGTGAAAGTCATTATGTAAAACATACTGAGCTTCATGAAAAGAATCCCAACATGAAACTGTATAAGTGTGATAAATGTGATTTTTCCGCAATCCGGATCAGTGTTCTTCAGCGTCACTCGCTTTCACATATCTCCGACGATGGTAAGATTTTAAAATGTTCCGAATGTCAATACACAACAAACAATGCAACATTGTTAAGACTGCATAAAAAGCGACATATTTCAAATAGACCGACACATTCATGTAATTTGTGCAGTTTTTCAACAATTTATAAGAAAAAGTTGCGAAAACATCTTGAAAGTCATGAGGGCTCAGAGGAAAATGCAAATATTGCGGCTAAAACATTTCAGTGTAACAGATGTGTATATAAGACAACAAACAAATTGAATTTACAGCGCCACCAACAAGCAGTACACTTGAATCAAAGACCACATCTATGTGATATCTGCGGAATGGCATTTAAAAGGTATAGCCGCATCACGACAAAACCAACATAATGGGTTTGCGACCAGCATGGATCCAGACCAGCCTGCGCATCCGCACAGTCTGGTCAGTATCCATGCTGTTTGCTATCAGTTTCTTTACTTGATATAGGGTCTGTAAGCGAACAGCATGGATCCTGATCAGACTGCGCGGTCTTGATCCATGCTGGTCGCAAACCCATTATGTTGGTTTTGTCGTGACACGGCTCATATGTTATTTTTTGGAAATTTTCACTGGTCGTGTTCTGTTTTATTATATAGAGGATATTCAATGAGTGTAGATTTAATACTGAATTTATTGAATGAGTTGTATACAATTATATAAAGTTAGCCTCTAATATCTTATAACTAACATAAAAACAGTGAAAATAATTCTTTTTTGTTGTTGAAGCGCCTATATAATATAGTGTAGTGCTAAAAGTGTGTCTTTACACTATGTTTGTATTATGCAAATGACTGTCACATCAAAATATATGCATGGCCGTGCAATATCATTTTTACGGAGTTGCAAAGGCACGGGTATGTGATAAACAATGATATGGGTTTTTTTTGTATTGTTTTTTTTAAATTTTCAAATATCAATATATTGGTGCATAGTCAATATTGATATACATGTATTGGTGATATGCTTTGCACTGAATCAGTGACAGCTCATTTTAATGCATAGTTTAAACATTGTTTATTCAAGCCAAATTGTGAAGAGAACTTATACAAACTACTGACTCTCGGGGTCGTTTTCTTGAACTAACTAGCATTAAGGTCATATGTGGAAACATGGAAATCCAGAAGAGCACATACCCAAAAAAATGGAATGAAAAGGGTTATAAACCACTAGCCACTGATTCCCTTTACTTAATTTTAAAGTCCAAAAATTTTTTTTTCCAAAAATTTTTCAAGGCTTTTAGCTTTTTTTCTTTACAAAATTTCTGCTGAATTTTAATAAATCTTGCTTTGATTATACCCTTTATGCTTACAGTGTTTGATTTAAATTTTTATTTTTAAATTTTTAAAAAATAAAAAGTTTTTTTTAAAATATTGTTTCATATTTTTGCAGGACAGATGCCTTAAAAGGTTCACAAAAATCCAAAAGAAGGTCAGGAAAAATTTTTTTTTAAAGGGAAAAATTTTCAAAAAAGCATTCATGCCATGTTGTTGAATTATCCCCTTTTATATTGTTTTAATTGATTTAGTGAATTTATAATTTTGTGTAATGTTTCAAAATTCTTATATCATTCTTAAGGTGACAACGTAGCCAATTATCACTAAAATTACAATGTACCTAAAATGAGATTTTTTTGCTGAGTAGATTTTTCAACCTTTTCTGAACACATTCGTGATTTAATTTTGGAAGAAGTTAGTCCACAAACTATGTTTTATATGTTTGAAGGCGGTACCTATACCATTTTTATCTGCTATGCAACTTACCTGTCAATTATGGATAATGCTCCGCCCCCTGTTGAGGCATCAATGAGGGAAATCGATAGTTTCATATATCTGTGAATTCCTGGACTAAATTTCATGTCCATAGGAGATTTGTTAGCAATCTCTCTTTATTGATTTAAACAGGAAATACAGACTTTTTTATTGGGCTGGTTTAAATTCAATAGGGTTTTTATGCTCCCCGAAAAATTTCGGGGGAGCATATAGTCGGCGCCTTGTCCGTCCGTCTGTCCGTCCGTCCATTGTCTTGTCCGGAGCATCAACTTGAAAACCTTGGAGATAATTTGTTGAAACTTCATACAGTGGTAAGAGGGCATCGAGGGGGAGTGAGTGTCAAAGAACCATAACTCTATTTTGTTCGGTTTTTGAATTATTCCCCTTATAGAAAAATCTTGTCGGGGCATAACTCTAAAACTATAAAGAGATATCAATATGAAACTTTGTAGGTGAATAGATCTCAATGGGTAGATGTGCAGTGCATAATAACAATAACTCTTTTCATCCTAATTTTGGAGTTATTGCCCTTTGTTAATTTTAATACTTTGAACTTTGTCCGGAACATAACTTGAAAACCCTTGGAGATAATTTGTTGAAACTTCATACAGTGGTAGAGGGCATCGAGGGGGAGTGCAGTGTCAAAGAACCATAACTCTATTTTGCCTGGTTTTTGAATTATCTCCCCTTATAGAAAATCTTGTCCGGGGCATAACTCTAAAACTATAAGAGATATCAACATGAAACTTTGTAGGTGAATAGATCTCAATGCGTAGATGTGCAGTGCAAAGAACAATAACTCTTTTTGTCCTAATTTTGGAGTTATTGCCCTTTGTTTATTTTAATACTTTTGAACTTGAACTTTGTCCGGAACATAACTTGAAAACCCTTGGAGATAATTTGTTGAAACTTCATACAGTGGTAGAGGGGCATCAAGGGGGAGTGCAGTGTCAAAGAACCATAACTCTATTTTGCCTGGTTTTTGAATTATCTCCCTTATAGAAAAATCTTGTCCGGGGCATAACTCTAAAACTATAAGAGATATCAACATGAAACATTGTAGGTAGATAGATCTCATTGAGTAGAGGTGCAGTGCAAAAGAACATAACTCTGTTAAGCCTTATTTTTGAATAATCTCCCCTTTTAGAAAAATCTTATCCAGGACATAGCTGTAAAAACTATAAGAGATATCAACATGAAAACTTTGTAGGTAGATAAATCTCAATGGGTAGATGTGCAGTGCACAAGAATCATAAACTCTACCTTGCCTAATTCTGGAGTTATTGCCCTTTGTTTATTTTTACTTTTTGAATTGTCCAGGACATAACTCGGAAATCATAAGAGATATCATCAAGAAACTTTGTAGGTTGATAGATCACATTGATTAGAAGTGCAGTGCAAAGAACTGTAACTCTGCCTTGCCTAATTTTAGAATTATTGCACTTTGAACTTTTTCCACGGACATAACTCTGAAACTACAAGAGGTGTACTTTCCTGTGTCCAAAACCTATTCGGGGAGCATCACCCGGCTCAAACCGGGCTCTTGTTTCCCATATTTTACAGCTGATTAAAGGCTGTTTCCCCTAGCCCAAAATAGGTATGTTTTCCCCTAAAAATGCTTTATTTTCCCCTGAAACAAAATAGATATATTTTCCCCTAAAAATGCTTTATTTTCCTCTGAAATCCCCTGTGCACATTCTTCAACAGAACCATAACTTAACAGTACCTGACTTGTATCAGCTAGTTGATAAATCTTATTAGCTGAAAGACAAGAAGTTGTCCCTAAAGATCTGATTATGTTTCATGCATGTTAAATTGAATGGCAATTGAAAATTTTATAAAACGAGTGGGTGAATTCCATTCTCACTTGTCAGCATTGTATTTCAAGTTTTCCCCCTTTTCTGATTTATTGTGCTATATTTTCCCCCTCAGAAGGCAACAATTTGTTTTGAAAATTGAAAAAAAGCAATCATTGAAATTTTTAATTATACTGACCTGATTGATTTTTTTCAGGCCCATGTAAAGGAGCACATGTCAGTGCATACAACCGAACGCTCATTTCAGTGTCATATCTGCGGCCAGATGTTTAAAACACGTCAAGTTCAACAGCGCCACCTACAAGGCGTTCACCTGAAGTCCAACTGGCATGAATGCTCTCGTTGTAAACGAAGCTTTAGTTCCAAGTATACGTTAAAACATCATCTCCGTCAACATGACGATGAAAACAATGTCAATTTACAAGGAAACGTTGAAGCGAAAAGAATCTATGACCATGTGTCACATTCCACCGTGGTTGGTCAGCAAGAAGATTATGTTGAAGGTCAAGGTCAGGAGGTCCTTGACGAAAATGCCACAGCTATACGAACAATTACAATAGCCCCGGAAAACCTTGGAGAGTTTACGCAGCAGCTCCAGTCTGTGTCCAGTCAGTTACAGTCGAGTCAGGATATCGGAGAAGTGTACATTCAAGGTAATGAAAATAATGCAAGTTCTTTAAATTGTAATTGACTTCTCCTTATGCACTGGTCAGTTGTAACAACAACGCTCCCATTTGCTTGGAATGGCTTTATTTTTAAAAACTAAGTAAACTGACTTGCCTAGTCCTTGTTGTGGCACGGTCACATGTTTAACGCTTGGTTTAAGTAACCTAAGGATATCAAGTTTCTTGTGTTTAAACACTGTGAAAGGCAAGCTATTGTTATCTTGAGCAAGAAATTTTACACTCCTACTGTTAGGTTAAAGAACGTCAAAAAGCATAAAAATATATAATTTGGAATGTTTACTTAAATCAAGACAAGTGAGGCATTTTAATGGAATACTCTGTAAAGGAAAGTAAAGAAATATGCTCAGAATTAATTTAAATTAAATATTGATTTTTTGTGTGCGATTCTTGGCCTGATTTGAGTGAAAAGTGTTGCAACACACATCAAAAGTTATTATTCTGGAGACAAGGGGGAATAGAATGATCTAAAAAAATTTCACACAATTTATTGGTCCAAACCTACATCAGGGATGTTATCTATGTCTCTGTCTACATCAAAAGGCACACAAATCTCCAAAAAATATTTCCAGTCCCGTCATGTAAAAAAAAAACTCAATGGAGTCCCTTTACTAAACGAATTTGAGAGTGTATCTATAAGTTTATACCTTCTTACACAAACTGAAATGAGTTCTACACTAAAGATCTTAAATGTGCTGCGTCACGACAAAACCAACATAATGGGTTTGCGACCAGCATGGATCCATACCAGCCTGTGCATCCACGCAGTCTGATCAGGATCCATGCTGTTCGCTTACAGACCCTATAACAAGTAAATAAACTGATAGCGAACAGCATGGATCCTGATCCATGGTCTGGATCCATGCTGGTCGCAAACCCATTATGTTGGTTTTGTCGTGACGCGGCTCAAATCGACTCATTCATCTTTAAATCTAGCTATAATCATTCATTATTTCTAGGGAAAACGTCCAAAAATAAATGTTCAAACTGAATTGTGTATATTACAGACCCTGATCCGTCAGCATGTTTTTGTCTGCACTGGTGGCTTGGGCTAATTCTGCTGCCCCAATCCCCACCCCAGCAGATTCATAATATTATATTCTATGAATAAGATACAGTTATGTAATACATATTCGCAACAATAACAAAATATAAAAAATAAAGAAATTTGTGCCTAACTTGTTATCACCTTTTTGTTAACATTAACACACAAGTCTAGCACCTATTCTTGTAGATATTAGATTTGGCACCTTTTTTCTTTTATTATACATGTATATATCAGGATTGGTCATGATGTCATTTAAATATAATGGAAACTTAAAATAAATTCCTAAGGCTGGAATATGTGATTATCTTTACTAGTTAAGGTGTTTTTAGATGCTTACACATTATGAGCTGCCATTGATGTAAAACATTATCTATGCATCATCGATATTTTTCTGTCAATCAATAAACAATACACATTTAAAAAAATCAATACTCTCGGACAACATTATTAAATGTCTTGAAATTATGAAAATTCACCCAAAACATATACAAAAGCACGTGTTATGTCTAAGACATAATATACAAATATCATAGCAGGGATGACATAAAATTGTCAAGAAAAAAATAATTACAAATCATAATTGTATGTCCAGAATATGTTTTTCACTGAAATCAATTTAAGGGGCATCCACCATTTTAAGGTATGAAAGAGAATTATAGACACGTTTTGTAAGTAATTATGATTTATATATCAGTGAATCGTCCATATTTTTCATCCAGTGTTGATATGTCACTGAAACGCTTTACATGGAATCTATACACATTGAAAAGGGGTGTCTGTCGCAGAGTGGAGAAAGTTGTGGACTTTATGACATGCAACTCACCACTGTGGGTTTGAATCAAGACAGGGATTATGGATTCATTCGTGTGAGGAAGCTAACCAGCATTCTTACCGAACATAGGTGCCTGAAATAACGCACAGAAGGGCATTTGAGGACAGGTCTTCCTCCTCCAGTAAAGCTCAAAAGTCACCATATGACCTATACTGTGCTGGTGTGACTTAAAACCCTACAACAATAAAGAAACTTAGGGGTGTCCGTGGCTGAGTGGTTAAGGTCGTTGTCTTCAAACCATTTGCCCCTCACCACTGTGGGTTCGAATCCCGACAGGGACTTTGGATCCTTTCATGTGAGGAAGCCCATCCAGCCCAAACCCTTTCCCAACATTTGGGGTTTCTACTCAGGTGGCCCCTTTGTGCTTGGGAAAAAATGGGATGGAGGGGCAAACCCGAGGGCTTCCCCACCAGTAAAAACCCTTTAAAGTTTGCGAAAATGGGCCTAAAAACTGTGACGTTTAAAACCCCCAAAACCCAAAAAAAAAAAAGATTAACCCTTTAGGTTTCCCAAAAAGGCATTTAAATTATGTAACCAAAAATGAGTTAAAGGCCAATAAATTATAAAACCTTGTTTTTTTTTTTTATGGTTACTTTAAAAAATAAAATTTAAAAAAAATATTCCCCTTTTGGCCCATGAATATTTAAATTTTTTATATACTCAAAAAGGAAATTTTTAAATTTTCTTTTTTTATTCCCTTTTTAGGGTTTGGGGAAAGTTTTGGGCAAGGGCACCCTTAATATTGTCAGTATTCAAGGTGATGATATAGGTCAAATCTTAACATCTTCAAGCGAGCCCATCTATGCAGAACATGTTCCGCAACTTTCATCCACTGTCGATGATTCTCAGAATACAGGCATGGTGCAAGATTTGATTACAGAAAATGACAAAATATACTCAAATTTAACATCAGATCAAGGCTTACAAATTATTTCCGACAGTCAGTCGGCAGATATACCTTCTGTAAGAACTCAATATACTATACCAGTTGAAACTTATAAATTAGCACTTGTTCAAGAAAACTCTGGTGCAGAATCAAGCACAACCAATCAAATTATGAATCAAGCAAACCCTCAGCTGGAAGTGCTGAACTATGAAGCAGTGGATATTCATTATGTGGCAGATCAGGGGCAGATAATTCAAGGGGAGAATGATGGAGATTATGTACAATTTGTTGCCCCTAATGGACAAACTTATCGTGTGAAGGTTGATAGGGCATCAAGTGCTCTTTGTTTAGAAACTGAATCAAATTTAGCAAAGGAATGAAAAATGAAAATATCATCTTTTATATAATTAAGATTATTACTAACTTGGAAATAAACCAAAAAAAAAAACAGTGCATTTATGTTTGAAATTGGATTTAGACACATCTTTCAACTGTGACTTTTGCTTGCTATAATGTTGACACTAACTGTGTGATACTATAACAAATCTGGTACATCTTTTGACATGGTGTGCTAAAGTGCAGATAATTCACTTTTGTTTTAAGTCTATGGTGACATCATGCTGGTTTTTAAAGGCACACTATGCCTAAGAAAACTTTTTTTTCAATTCTTCAGAAATGTCATACATGTGTTTAATAATGTTTTAATAATAAATTAATTAAAGCATGCTACAAAATTGTACGATATTTAATAATTGAAAAAGAAAGAACCACTGAACTTTGCAGTGATGTGCCATAATGGTAGCAAAATGTAAATGAAATAGTGTTTTGTCTTGCATACACAATACTAATTAACCAAATATACAATTTGGCAACAGAGCAAAATTAGCCTGAAAATGAAAAAAAAATTGGAAACTGTAGCAAGATACCCTCAAAAAAATGTTTTTGAGAATTTAAATTATAAAATTTCTTAGGCATAACAGACCTCCAAGATTAGAAGCATACATGTATTTCAAAAGATTGACTATTTTACTGGTGAATGAACAATAATTTATAATTACAAAATTAATGTTAATGGTAAAATATTAAAACTGCCGAAAGTATAAGACGACTGACCCACTCTTTATATAAATTATACATAACGAATATTTTATGATATATTATAATTGTTGTGTGTATTGTTAACTGTGTTAACTGTCTATTTTTGTATTTGTATTACATTTATTTATATTGTAAAGTTTGGGGCAGAAATAAATTGTTCAGAATGTACAGAAGTTAAGAAGTATTACTTTTTTAACCCTAATCCTGAAAGAATTCAGTATTAAAGCAGCACACATCCAGATTCATGTTAATTTTCATGAAAATTGTGAAAATGTTTTAAAAAGTAGAACGAAAAGTAAACAAAGAACGTAACTTACAGATTGCAAAAGGCATTTACAATCACTGTAAATTACCAAATAGGTTAAATTATGGTGATAAGATCAACCGAGCTCAATACAAGACTGACCAAGCTCTTTATTAGACCGAAGTAGCTCTGTATTTGACTGACCAAGGTTTAAACTGACTTACCAAGCTCTAAACTAGACTGACCTAGCACTATACAAGACTGACCTAGCTCTGTACTTGACTGACCCAGCTCTATCCTAGATAATGGTCTAGCTCTATACTGAAATAACCAAGCACAATTCTAGTCTGGCCTAGCTCTTTACTTGACTGACTAAGCACTATGTTAAACAGACCTAGCTCTATACAATACTGACCTAGGTCTGTATTAGACTGGCCTAGCTCTATACAAGACTTACCTAGCTTTATACAAGACTGACCTAGCTCTATACAAGACTGACCTAGCTCTACAAGACTGACCTAGCTCAATACTAGATTGACCTCGCTCTGTACTTGTCTGGCCTACTTCTGTACTTGACTGACCTAGCTCTGTACTTGACTGGCCTACTTCTGTACTTGACTGACCTAGCTCTGTACTTGACTGACCTAGCTCTAAACTAGACTGGCATAGCTCAATACTTGACTGACCTAGCTCTAAACTAGACTGGCATAGCTCAATACTTGACTGACCTAGCTCTAAACTAGACTGGCATAGCTCTATGCAAGACTGGCCTATCTCTAAACTAGACTGACATAGGTCTACACAAGACTGACTTAGCTCTGTATTTGACTGGCCTAGCTCAAAACAAGACTGACCTAGCTCAAAACAAGTCGAAGACTGACCTAGCACTATACAAGACTGACCTAGTTCAATACAAGACTGACTAGCTCTAAACAAGACTGACCTAGCACTATACTAGACTGCCCTAGCTCTATACAAGACTGGCCTAGCTCTGTATTTGACTGGCCTAGCTCTATACTAGACTGACCTAGCTCTATGCAAGACTTGCCTAGCTCTGTACTAGACTGGCCTAGCTCTTTATTACACTTGCCTAGCTCTACACTAGACTGTCCTAGCTAGCTCTATACAAGACTGGCCTAGCTCTATACAAGAATGACCTAGCTCTATTCAAGACTGGCCTAGAAAATGCAAAAATTCTGGAAAATCTTCGGAAGAATTAATCACAATAAAATGACATGAAAATTGCAGACGCTGTTTGATTGAGTCTGTACATCGGGGATAATGAAAAAGTGCAACATCCCTCGTGCCCCCTAGCACCAGCTTGAGCAGTATTCAATTTTCAACACTTAAATAAAAGAGTTGGAATCAATTATCCCGAAATACCAGAAAAATATAATAACAATGAAGTGAAGTACGGGGCAACTTTTTACAGCTGCCACACAGCACTCGACACCTCCTGTTGTGAAGTACAAACCAGAGCTACATTATGGGGTTTGGTCTACTGTTCTCATAACAATAGATGTCTTTGATGTCATTCATTCCGTTTCTCTTGTGGGGATATTTTCTGCATTGTGGGGTTAAAAGACCAAAAGAAATAACAAAAGAAAACCTCATAATGTAGCTCTGGTAAGAACGGACGTATAAAACCCTGGGAAAAGACTGACTTGAGCTCTGTACTAGACAGACTTAGCTCTTCCATAGACTGACAAAGCTTTATACTAAATTAGATATTATAAGCTTTTAAAAATTGAAAAACCCTAATTAATACTTATAAACACACGGCACGATGGGATGATAGTATACAAAAGTAAAAACTAAAAAAATGACTTCATATGTACAATATCTAGACTGTATACTGTATATATGTTTTATAGTTTATACATATGAAGTAATTTTTTTTTCTACACTAGCACCCCAACTTGCCGAACCCCTGTGCATATAAACCCATGATTATAATTTCTAAAGCCTATTTAATTTACAAATACCTAATTATGAGTTAGTTTCTTGATAGGCAGCAACAAAATTTGAAGAAGCTGCCATTTTGTTAGAGAGTTTTGATCTCGCAACCCAAACTCCTGACAGTGATATCCTCCTTTGGTAGATTGTACTGATAAGGGGAGATCACTGCGTAGGAGATTGCTCGCGACCTCATACACGCATCAGGAAAGTGATCATGCGACCTCGGACGAGCAAAATGTGGTCCGCCCCTTTTTCCAAAAAAAAAATGGCAGTTTGGGGCTGCGTTCTACGAAGGATGCAACGATGCTTTCTGCGTCTTCATACACGTCTGATACCTTTTTCACGTTCTGTCAAGGTCCTACGACTTATTAAGATCCCCGGGCTCGGGCTCAAAAAGCGTCCTCATGCTTCTACGGATATTAATGCACGAGAAAAGGTGCATTAATCCTATATTGCATGAGTGATATACTGTTTCTCATAATGTATATTATGGTGAAATGATATATATGTCATACACATATTTGTCAGAAGGTCTTCCGGTACGTTATGAAAAAAACTTGTAATTAATGAGACCTGCTTTGACCATCTATTGTACGTTTTCGTGTTTTAAAAGGAATGTTTGACACTATATACTTGTTGTGTTGAACTGACCTGACATTATTACACATATATACATATTGACATTTTTTAAGTATGTATAGTATCTAAAACTTATCTATCCCTAGAGAAGAAATTAACAAAATATTAAATATACAGTACATGAATTTATCAGTTTTGTTTGGTTGGGTTTTTTTTGTTGTTGTTGTTTTTGTTTTTTTTTATAATTTATTGTGAAATTTGTATGAAACAAATATAAATTTCTGGTAATAGCGGTATTTAATATTAATTAGAGGTACTGAGTTAAATTTTTATCATTTCTTTTTTTTTCTGAAAAATTAGAGAATTTCTTTATACATGCGTCTGATTCCCACAAGTGTCCTATGTACATGTATATTGTGTAATGTACTGTACATGTATAAAAATATAGGTATAGTACGAAACATGTTTATATTAGGTAACTAGTATGTATATTGAGATGAGATCGATGACATTTATTGATTAATTATGATTGAATTTCCGCCACTATAGGGGGACGGTTCAAAGTGGCTGTCAATCAAAAATAGCTCGAGACCGTATTCATTTATAAATGTATACAAATTGTTGTGTTGTTGTTTTCCGCTAATTAAGTTTTGCATCAAAAACAATTTGGATTATTTAAAAAAAAACAAAAACATAACTATCTACATAACTATATTAAAGGTTTTCTATAACTTTTGGATTTACATTTTGCATTTTATGAAATTGAAATCTAAATATATATCAAAAGTGAAGCTGGTGTCTTATTTTATTTGATGCTACAGTGGAAAGTGGAAAGATTGTAATATTATAACATCTCGCAAAATTTGAAGAGAAAAAAATTTGACCGGAAGCAGACGACAATTATAGCAGACGACAGTTATAGCAGACGACAAAGAATTTTTCCCCTAACGCGCATGAAATGGTTAACTAAGACGGACAGAATATGTGATTATAGAAAATTAAAGAATATTTCATCAAGAAATAAAATAAAAATTAGAATTAATTTACGCAAGAAAAAATCAAGATTTATTGCGACCGGTCCTTCGTTTATAGGAAAAATAACAACAACAACAAAAACTGTTTGATCTTTTACGGTGATATGCATTTAGAGTAATGAGTGGCCATCTTTTATTGGGGTCACATAGTCAGTCTGTCATAGTTTTATACCGACTAATTATACATGTGAACATCATACCAAAGGTATGTTCACGGAATACATAAATACACATACATCAATCCTGTATGAACAACAATAATATAGTGTTTTGATGTTATATTTGAGTTATGACAATTATATTTTAAAGTGTATTTATAGTTATTCGTACAGCATGGAATAATAAAAAGATTGTGTCTCAAAGTATAGTGCACGCGCTTTTTTTGTATTTGATTAAGAATATATATGTCAAAAGAAATAAGGAGAAAAGAAGAACGCTGAAATCGTTAAACAGAAAAAAGGATATATTAAAATCTAAAATTTAAAAGTTCTGAAACAGAGAAGACGCTGAAAGAAAATGTTCAGCCATTTTTGTCAATGAATGATCACTAGAATTTGAAAAAAAAACTTTTGTTCTATAATAATTATAAACAGGAAATGCCTAGAATTAATAACATTGTACGCATGTATGTGTTAGAAAATTGAATAAACGCCATAATTAAATACATAATTACTACACCGAGTAAAAGGCTTTCTATGACAAACGCATGACATTTCTGTTAATGTGCCATGAAATGGACTTCTAGTACAGCTGACATTTTAAACAACTTTAAACACAGACATTTCTACTAACAGAAATAACATAACAAAAATATACAAATTTTCCTCAGAAAATAGCCATGATGAAATCGGATTCTATTCAAACACATGTATTGTGTACGCGTGTTAAATATATATGTGCTAGTGTTTTATTCTTCCTGCTTTGTTTGGACGGGGTGTTGACGTTTAACGTGGATACCAAAAATGTTAAAGTTTTCCAAGGACCTGCTGGAATATATTTTGGATATTCGTTAGCTATGCTGCGTAATGTACAGGGCAACTGGTAAGAAATTACTTTTATGACCACTGGTAAGAAATACTTGTAGACAACTGGAAGAAATTACTTTTATGACCACTGGTAAGAAATTACTTTTAGGAAAACTGGAGGAAATTACTTTTATGACAACTGGCAAGAAATTACTTTTATGACCACTGGTAAGAAATAACTTTTATGACCACTGGTAAGAAATTACTTTTATGACAACTGGCAAGAAATTACTTTAGGACAACTGGTAAGAAATTACTTTTAGGACAACTGGAAGAAATTACTTTTATAACAACTATCTTGTAAGAAATTACTTACATGACAACTGGCGAGATATACTTTTAGGACAATTGCCAGGAAATTACTTTAAGAAAAACTTGTAAGAAATTATTTTAGGGCATCCGGTAAGAATAACTTTTAGGACACCGGTAAGAAATTACTTTTAAGACAACTGGTGAGAAATTACTTTTGAGACAAACGGTCAAAAATTACTTTTAGGACAAGGGCAAGAAATTACTTCAAGGCATTGGTTTGGAATAGAACTTATGTAGAAACGCGATATTATGATTAAGTATTAAACGAGAGTTGCGCTGCAGCGCAGCACATTAAAAGTGCGTCTAATATTGGTATAGACGCATGCTTACGAGTTTTGGGAGCGTTCTCTGCGGATTTTGTTTTTCTCTTAATATAGGTCTTTAGTAAATTTGTTCGATTTTGTAATAACGTTGTATTTTGCTACTTCTTAATAACGATATAATGCATTTTATTTTCGCAAACTGGTTTTTAAATTCATTCAATTTCCGTTAATTTATCTTACAAAGAAGTTGACGATGAGTTGCGGAGAATGCTAACATTTATGCGTATTTGGCACGATAAAAATGTGTATTGTTTATATGAGTTTTAAAGTAATTTGATTAAGTTGAAATTCAACGGAGTGGGATGAGATAATACATCATGAGTGATACTGGATTGTGCACATGTACATATTTATTTTCTCCGCAAGCAAGCATTTGTCAACTTCTCCGCATAATTCTGCATATCGTATTATGTTCATTGCAATACATTCACGATGATTGGATGGAGTTAAAGATTTTTAAAAGAAAAAATGGACTGATGGACTTGATATAAGCATTTTAAACTTATTTTAAGGTAATAATCGTAATGACTATCAGACTATATATTTTCTCTGATTCACTATTGTTTTTCGTGATAAAAAACACACCTGTAAATAGTAGTGATTAACAAATGTGTGAACAAAATTAAAAGCCTTAACACCGAGTTAATGAAACGAGTGTCTGTCCTGTCAAACGCTTCAATCATCGTACTGTATAAAAATGAGAAATACTAAAAATGTTGACAGAAAAAAATATGACCGGAGGCAAATAACTGACACATTACTTTGTTTATACAAATTTTAACTATCTAACGGAAGTTAACGTAGTAAAATATTTGGTACGTTTGCGGTAACGTAAAATTTGTAATTAACTAACGTTGTTTACACGGCGATATATAATGACACTTGCATTTCCAGACTGAAGACAAATATTTTGAGATAACAGAATGTATTATGAAATCTAGGACAAGCGAAATAAATCTAGCCGTAAATGTTCGTGACTTTACGGAATAATTTTAACGGAATAATATAAGGTTATTATAAATTGTTGAGTAAAATACTGACTTATAATGGACGAATACAATGCTGTGAAAACTATATTGGACGATACGCTAGCCGAGTCTGATATAGGTTATACAGCTGTGCACGAGTCCAATAAAAGTCACTATTGTACTCATTAATGTATAATGACCTCTTTAGTTCAGACATTTTGACAGAACGTTATTACTTCAAGTACAATTTTGTACTGTTGGACTTTAAAAAATGAAAACGAGGCTAGATGAAGTATGATATTAATTTGCTATAGATTTTTTACGAGGCTAAATTGATATAATTGGAACAAGACCATCACGTGGTGCAAATGCTTAAAGTCCATTGGTTATATTTAATAAAATGAGAAATAAATGGAAATACATTTTTTGACTGCGTCCGATTATCATTTTAAATGAAAATATGTCTTCTGACCTGGCCCATTTACAATATGTGGAAACATGTCTTCTGAGCATTCAGAGTTTTATGCGTTCCGAAGTTTTCCTACTATTTCCTTTTTGTAGTTTATCTAGTTTTTCTTGGATGTTGATCCTGATAATTTTGACATGAAATTCGGTAAAATTGTTGTGGTTTGCTTCTCTTACATTATAATTACCTTCCGGGTTTTTGGATTTTTTCTATCTTATGAATAAAATTTACTGCTTTTATACTAAAACTATTGCACACAATGCTATTTGTCAATAATAACAATATAGATTTTTCATAACTTGGTACCATCTAAATGATCACTGCTTTCGTTTAATTAGAAACTCCTATTTTTCCAAGCCCCTCCTCTTCCCCCTCACCCGTCCTGTTTTAATTATAGTAATTTGTATCCCAAAATCCTGCAATTAACAGATAGTATTACTATTACTGTTTATAAAAGCCTGTATTTTCATTTGTTTTTTCATGGTAATGATGCATAAGAACTTGTATTTACTTGTAGAACTACGATAAATTCATTTCGTAACGAAAGTGACGGCTATACGTGTGGGTGGTGGGAAGGGTGTGTGGGGGATGTGCTTGCGTGCGTGCGAAGTCAGTATTATCTAGCGCCATGCAAAATATCTCAGTATATCAGTCTAGAGAAACAAGAACAATAACATCTAGTATCTTCAATGTTGTGTAATATTTTTAAATCATTTATTATACAACTGAGATATTCATAACAGATTGCAAAATACACGTGCGTCCATTTTTGATAATAAATACAGAAAAGGTTAAGAAGTGCTCTCACAACAATAAATACTTATATATATATATACTTATTTTATTTACGAAATGATACCTAAAGGCAGAAAGGCAAATGTTTATAAGGGTAGTCATCCTTATGATATTAATGTATTCAACAACAAAAAAGAATGAAAATGTAAGCTAGTCTTGGAAAGTTGTTTTTCTATTTCGCTTTTCCTATATGTGCAAATTAATTAAATGAACTCTTAATTTATATAAAAGCTGATACCCCGGTTTATTTTTACCTTGTGCTTAGAACATGCCGTCGTTTTTATGCATCCGAAGGGAGGCATACTATAATCGCACCGTCTGTCTGTCCGTCAGTCCCACTTCATTCGTGTCTAGACTGTAACTTTGTCATGCATTGAGGGATTTTGAAATAATTTGGCACAAATGTCTATCTCATAACAACATTTTGTCGCGTCCAGGAACCACGTCCTTTTTTCAAAGGTCAAGGTCACACTTATAATTTAGAGGTTCATGCTATCACAATTAGAGATTACAGGTACAATAATACAAAGCACAATATTCAGCAATTAGTTACTTTCATTCTGTTTTCTTTTCATAATACCTGCATGCTTAAGAAACCTTTTCGGGGGCATTCGTCACTTGGGTGACAGCTCTTGTTTCTTGTATAAGTTTCTTTTGTTATTTGTCTTTTTATAAGTAAGTATAAAGAAAATTGTAAGATTGGCCATAATTACATGAGCTGCTGCTTACAAAGTACATAATTATCTGAGTCACTTTCTTATGGTGGCTGATTTGAGCATCTACACGTTTTTCTTTTCTTCTTGTGAAGTGGCGAAAAGTCGAAAACATACAAAATCTGCACATTGTTCCAGTCACATCTTCTCGCCAATTTCCGTCAAACTTCGGACAAGGACGATGAATAATAGTCGAGATTGTCCATATCAGCCACCATACACAATCATAATAGAAAATATGGAACAATTTTGTGCTGTAGTTATTGATATAATTAAAAAAAAACTCTTTGCAGTCATAATATTATAAGCGCCTCATATCATTTGGCAAATTGCCAAGGCAATTTATAACAATCTTACTTTTCATTGCATTACAGGCTACTTGTTGGAGCACCAAGAGCAAATGATCCACTCCAGCCAGGAATTACCAGTCCTGGTGTTCTCCTCAGATGTCCGCTAGATGGCGACAGTGTCAGATGTGACGAAGTTGTTGTGGATACTTCAGGTACATGCACTTTCTGCATCTTAACCCGTTGTCTTGTTTATAGCTATAGTGATAAGCCTTGGCCATCGTTTTGGGAGCCAGGTCAGCCTGCACGTGAGTGTAGTCTGGTGGCCCAATTTTTGTATTTTGGCGCATTTGATTTTTTTCATACATTTCGGACTGCCTACTCCGGATTACAATTGCAATGGGACTGTATAAAGCCTATGCATGTACATAATGTATATCTGTGTACAAAAGGTGATTTCATTTTCTTTACAAAACATTTGTTTGAATAGAGGTATTCACACACCAACTTGCAGCAATATTGAATTACTGTTACCGCAAAAATGTACACTGTCCGGAATAATTTGACGAAATTTTAACCGCCCTTGCAGAAAAATATTTTCAGTTCCCCTCATAAAGGTAAATGATTCAAGTACAATAAAAGCCTGATTTCATTTTAGTGCAATCTACGTTACAACTTTCGAGAACAGTAAAATATTTTCAGAAATAAGTATGAAATACCAATTGTCTCAATCACGACTACTTCATTTTACAGCATGTATTTTTACCTGACAGCACTGAATACTTTTCGATAAACTTAACTTAAGAAGTAAGCCAATATTCTCGGGCTTATTATGTAGAAAGCCAATTAAAAGATTTCAAAATTACATTCCATTCTTAATGTTCTAGATTTGACTAGACGGATGGAAATGCACGAACGGTCAAATGCGCCAACCACAAGTTTACAAATAAATCGCAAACAATATCCGTATCCCCGCGCAAAGGAAATAATATAGCAATATGGGGAATGATATCCTTTTAAGAGGAGCAGTAACGAAATGGTTAAGGTGTCTGGCTCTTAACATGGGGACCTTGAGCTCGAGTATTATTTCTCAAATGACACCATTACCGGATTCGTCCAGGAAGCGGGCTCGAAAATCATAAATGAGCTTGTTTGTTTGTGAAGCTTAGATAAATATGTTTAAAAAGTGTTTATTTTTTACCGTTTGGTTGTTTACATATAGTCCTACTAAAGGGATCGACCTCAAAGCGGCACCGGTATAACAAGTACTATGCTTGCATGGAATTCTTCCCTTTTCTCTATTTCATGCTTTTCTTTTTAGATAGGATAATATTAGGCAGCTTTAGCATACATAACTTTAATAACATACTTTCTCCTATTGTAGGAAATGTAAGAGTAGCAGGGACATTTTATGGCGTAACCAAAGTGTTTGACCACGACAAAAATAACCAGTGGCTGGGCGTGTCAGTAGATGTATCCCCAAATAATGACAGAGTTGCCGTAAGTTATATTTTCTTTGGTATCATGAAATTTTCAAATTATCCAATGGAAGGAGATACATATCTTCTCGAAATACTGATTTAAAGCTATTTCCCGGTCTAGACAACCCTTAATTTTCTTAATGAGAATCGACATTAAAATTCAACGAATTTCAAAAAGGCACAGCACTTATATAGATTTAAGGAGAGAAATTACTTTTTTGTGTAACGTTGTATTGTTTTTCGTAGAGACAGCATCATATTTGTAATCCAGAGAACATGGGTTTTATCCTCTATCGAGGCTAAATTTCTTCGAGGCCATTGAACGTCTAATGGCCATTTATTTTTTACCACTGGTTTTATCACGAGGCAGAAGTTGTCGCTCACTTGCTGAGAAATTATCAATTACTGGTTATTTCTATAGGAAATACTTTTAAGGTGGTCCTACTTCCGAGATTTGGCCAGCAATTTGTTGAAATCGGCGAGAAAAAAATCAAACTGACAAACGAACGATATCGCTTAAGATTAATTTGGTACTACAATATTTTACAGCCATATATCATTCATTTTTAAGTTTTAAGCTCAAAACCGTGAAAGAATGAACTATTCCCATGTAAAGGTTTCTTATCTCACATATGCAAGATCATGGTGGGGGACTATTTGTGTTGACTGTAAACACCGTGGTAATGGTCATGTTCCGTTGCTGTTGTTTTTGTTCAAGACAACAAATACACTCCTTATAATTATCCTTATATAATATCTAAATATGGCAACAAAAGCTGGAAATAAAATTTTTGATCCTCTATCGAACATTTGTCAATTAACAAACCAGGGGCTTGAGTTGAGGATCGGACATGAAACGGATCCAGAGATAGTTGCTAGATATGAAGCATTGTTTGTTGAAACAGATGGATTCATGCAGACATGAAGTGCAAACTTATAAAAAATTCAAATGTTTATTCATTGTTTTCGTGTTTAAAACTCAAAAAGAAGAAAAATAAAACATGTATTTATTCCCAATAAGGCGAATAACTTTTATGCTAATCCTGTAGAAGGCGACATATTGTAACCATGCGACCAGTGCGGGTCAAAGTTTTGTTCTGTACTGTCAATAAATGTTTTATATGTAATTAACCGGGTTACCCTATATGTGTTGAATGGTTTTGGCCAGATTAAAGTTCATTTTAGAAATTTGGGGTGGTAAGGGTTAAAGAAATGCAGTCATGGTTCTAAAATCTAATGTCTTTCAGAGATATCAAAAGCAAAAGCAACTAAAAATTCACATAATGTTTTATTTAGAAAAGAATTTTCCAATTTATTTTTTATTTATGCATATATTCTTCGTCTGGATTGGATATGCATTAAGTTTTTCCCTAAAATGATAAATGGCTTTGTCCAGATTGAAACATGTAGATCTAAGACATTTTAAGCAAGGGTAAGGGTTTTTGTAAATTTTTCATCCCTCCTTTGCTAAGCTTCTTATATATGTATGGTACCATATCTTTGCCTAAAATCCCTTTCAACATCGCAGAACTCTTGGAAATACAAGAATGTTATCTGATAGTAAGCAAATGAAGATACCATTGTATAGGGTCAAATAGATGAATTTCTGCAAAATATCGTTTCTCAAAGATATTTTTTATTTAAAATAGGTTTGAGACAAAGCCATTAGATAACAATATTGTGTAATTTTAAAGGCACTGTACTAGCATTTAGAATTTTATTCATGTTTCGTAGGTATGTGCGCATAGATGGAAAGATTCAAAGTTTGTTCTGCCAAATGACTTACTGTACATGCAAGGATTGTGTTACGAATTAGACGCTGGATTTCAACTTCCGGCAAGACTACTTCCGGTTTTAGTTGATTACAACAGTCTCGTGCATCGGCAGGAACGCTATCCAATCTGGGCTTACGGGGCACTTGGACAGTCTGTTGAATATACCAAGGTACACTCGTATTTTAAAACTTGTAAAGCTGAAATTAATTAATTTATTTTTATTTATTTATTTATTTATTTTTTTATTTATAAATTGCTGAAATAAAGTCAAACATGTGTTAACATCCTCTGGATAAAGATAACCCTGCAAGTAAATGTCACATTTTGATAATCCTTAATAGATTAAATGGAACAACCTCCAAATAAAGATCACTTGTATATAAAGACCACGTTTTATCTCTCCCTTGGGTGGCCTTTGTTCACCAGTAAGACTGTATTAAAGCATACCCAAATTTAACTGGTATAGCTATTTTGACAACATTTTAGAGAATAATAATCACACGTTACTCTTTAACTTACTTTTTCAGAATGGCGATGCTCTGCTGATGGGAGCTCCAGGGTTAAATGACTGGCAGGGTAGGTGTATTACCATACTAATGTAGTTTAAGTTTCAATCTTTCGCCTGACATTTCGGATATATAAGAGTTGAATATGATGATAGATGGTGACATAATCATCCCTTTTTAAATGAAAGGGTATAAATGGCCTCGGTAGCCAAGTGGTTGAGGTTGTTGACTTCAAACAACTTGCCTTCACCTCTGTGGGTTCGAAACCCGCCAGGTACTTTGAATTCTTTCATGTAAGGGAAACTGTCCAGCAAGCTTACTGAACGTCGGTGGTTCTACTCAGGTGCCCATTTGTGCCTGAAATAATGTGAGAAAGGAGTATTCTTCACAAGTAAAGGAAACTCGTCAATCTGACCTCTTCTGTGTTGAGGTGACGTAAAATCCAACCAAAATAATGTGCTGGAAGTATTTACTACCACGTGAAAATTAGAATTGGGAAGTTTTTGAATGCCAGCCTGTATGATAAACGATATTTTAGGCGAATTGTTCATCATTTCTAACTTCATGAAATACCGGCAAATTTCTGCACTTCCCATCCCTTAAAGCACTGAGCATCGATGCAATTAACATGGTGTCAACTTTCGCTTAAATTATACGGAAAAAGAATATGTTTACCGAAATTATACTATCTTACTTTGGAAGTTTTACTTTTAATCGTAGTTACAACCGCATCACTATTTTCATTTACAGAAAATTTGTAGGGCATTTAAATTTGTGAGTTGTTACAAAAAATCTTTAGGTCTTGCATATTCTAAGCCTTTTTAAAGACCGATTTTGCCTTAGAAATGCTGTAATTTTTATTTCTCAAAAAACTTTTATTTTTGGTATCTTGTTAAAGTTCCAAAAGTATAAATCTGTCATATACTAGTACATGAACTGCCTTTTGCTGCTTTAGCTCTGTTCGCAATTGATGTAATAATAGTAAATAAGTATTTTGTATGGAAGTCAAAATACTACTTACATTTTGCTACCTTGACGACACATTTCTGCAAATTCAACGCTACTGTCTTCATTTGTTTAACATTTAAACATGCTCTCAATCCATTATTTATACAATATGAATTACATGTTTGACATTTCTAGGGGATTAAAACGATATGGATTTCTGAGCGCAATGTGCATTTAAAGAGTGAAACTCTAAATTGGAGTAGTCTTTTCTGTGATGTACGACTGAAACATTGATGGAACCGGTCGGTTCCTTTCTTATGACATACTGCTATATTTTCAGTCTTCAGAAAAAATTAGAAAAATATCAGCGAACACCAATGCCAATTTTCAATTTTATTGACTGAAACATTATAAATGTTTAAAGCAAATAAACAACACACACGCATATACATATCCATTTGATAATAAGACAAGCGGTGAACAAATTAACAAGAACCCAACAAACTGACAAAGACAATATTATCAAAAAAAGTTAAACATTGCGAATTTTATTTGCAGAAAAAAATGAATTTTGATATGTTACATAAATGTTTTTTGCATGGTATTGTTTTTTTTTTTAAGAAAAAATTGAGCCACTAATGTGTACTACGTTTGTTTGTTTGGTTTTGTTCTCTCTCTCTCTCTCCAAATTTAGATGCGCACCCTTTGTTTGAAAAGAGAAGGATGTTTGATTTGAAGCAATAACTGGCAAAAAGGGGATAGCTTGGCTATCCTTTAATAGTTAATAGTTTCATGATATAAGATAGTTATTTATATCTAAAGTACGAGCGTCGGAAATATTCCTAAAATAGAATCAATCACATGTTGTAACAATCATATAATATGAAGTGTCGGACAGTCACCTTATGTTGGACAGTCACCTTGTATAAAAGTGCTTGCATTCGACACCAATACACTGCTGACAAAACTTAGATAAATCTGTCCTTCGTAGTCCATACATCAAAGTCTATTATTTATTAATATCTTGATACTCATGGTTATTGTATGATTTAAAAGTGAAAATGCTTTGAGCATGATCATGTGACCATATCTTCTTTTTTTTAAATATCTTTATGTAATAGAACTCATAGATAAATTCAAAGTGATATAAAGAATAATTCATACTAAAAATATTCCTACATTCGCTTCAGCCTCCTGGCGGCACCTGGATCTACACATACGACTAGTGTCGTCTGTATGTCGTCTGCGCCTGCACCATTTGCTATTCAGTCACTACATACTTTGAAATTTTCCCTATAAAATGTTGAATGGTTTTGCCCAGATTGAAAGAAGGGCAAGTCCATTAAATGTACATGTATTTAGCGGTGTAAGAGTATCAACTCATGGTATATAATTTTGTTTTAGGAGGATTTGTTATAGAAGATAATATGCGAAGGAATTTTACAGTGCAACCTTTATCTGATGACCGTAGAAACTGGCTCATAGGTAACCACTTTCTCCCGGTTTTACTTCTTTTATGACAAATTACTTCTTATTCAGTGCTACCTTTTTCTTGTAATAGATTATTATCTAAAATGCTCTTAAACCAGTATATAAAGATCATAAAACCGATGTTTACCCTTTGTTAAAGCTGTACGCCTCCAGATTAGCCAAAATATTTCAAGAAATTCAAATCTGAGAAAAATGTTAGTAAAGATTTTCAACATCAAGATTAAAGTAATAATTACATATTGTGTTCGATTAATAACTGATTTTTCAGTATTTATCATCATATTTCTACTGCGTTACTAACGCAGTAAGGGCTATTTTTGCATAGTTTGATCTCTTTCTGATAATGTACTTGGATGCAACGTGGAGATTACTGTCTTTGTTCATTTCAAAAACACATTTTCACAATTTTCATGAAAATTAGCAATGCTGCTTTAAGAAGAAATATATTTGTTTCGTGAGGAATAAATTGCCTTTGATATTTTTAGGTTACACTGTGACGTCAGCCCGCTTGATAAGAACAAATGCCAATTACATCATAGCTGGTGCGCCAAGAGCCAACCTCAACGGATCTGTAAGTATCCACTATGGCGTCTTAGATTAGATAATAATATCGAATCAGTCATTCCATATGAATTTTTCATTTTCCACTTTCATGATCTTCCCTGAAATATAAAAAAAAATTCAAAATCATTTATAGCTATCTTAATGCTAATAGTGTAAATATCGACTTGCGTCAAACAACATCCGCCATTTTGGCGCGTACACAGCGTACATATGCGTCATAACTTACACATGCGTCAGTTCCAGATTTATTCTTACCGAAAATGTCCTTGAAATAATTATGATAATGCCATACCGGTATGTTATCTTTTGTCTTTAGGTTTTTGTGTTTGAGTACAAGAGTGATCAGATCTTGAACGAACCACTGATTGGCGATCAGTTAGGGAGTTATTTTGGATCAGTATTATGTGCAGCTGACGTCAACAATGACCAGTTAGATGACGTCATTGTCGGTGCGCCGTTCTACTCGACCAACAATACAGAAGAAGGCAGAGTTTATGTTTACATAAATCGGGGAATGGTAAGCAAAATTATAAATGTTGAGCATTACTGGCAAACCTGAATAAAGACAACCCTTTACACAAAGCCCACATTTTGACAAACTTTTATTGATAAAATAAAACATAGCAAACTTAAGCTCCAAGTAAAGACCATTTGTCTATAAAAGCCATATATCAGTTGGTTGGCCTATATTCATAGGCTTGACTGTATATTATCACACATTAAGCTCACGTACATGTGCATAATAAAATTTTTGCAGGAAGTGACGTACATGATGTATTATGGCGTCATTTAACACATCTGTGTTAATTTATATGATGATGCCGCCATCATGCCGGTAACTCGTAACCGAATAAGTAGATATAAAAAGTAGTGCGTGTGATTTGTTTCTTTCTTTTCTTTTCATTTTTGCTTTCTTTCCCATTATCATATGCTAATGACATTTATATACGTGTGTGATATTCTTGTGATGCTAATACATGACGTCATTTGTTATTTATCGTTACTTAAGAGATAGTTAGCAAGTTGATTCATATACATGTATACATTTGCGAAATATTTTTTTGTTTTTGTTTTTGAGGAGCATTTTATGTTATGGAAATTTATTAAACCCTTTAAGAGACTCTTCTGGGGTTTTTTTTATTGACATGACTGGATTGGAAATATTTTTTTTTTGGTAAATACTCCAATTGGTGCAGTTCTAGACCAATATCTTGTGTACAAAATTTCAGCTAGTTCCTTCACTTAAAATTTAAAAAATGATACGTCACTTTTAGCTTTTGAACCATATTTTAAGAATTATTTATGACGAACCATTCTGAGATCAGTATTGTCCTATTATCTTTCTATATTGTTTAACAAACTTTCATGTACAGTGACGTATGTTACATGGCACGGCGGTTCGATATTAATAGCTTATTTGACATTGTATTGTACAATACGGCAATATATTTGGACAAGGTCACGCTAATACGTTAGAGTCGAAGTATATCACTTATTGTACTGAACTGTGAAAAATACCCAATATTATATATATCTAAAGATAATAGAAAACTCTAATATTCTATTAAAGGGACTCCACTGAGATTTTCTGACATGACGGGACACGAAAAATGTTTTTTTTGAGATTGATGCCATTTGATGTAGGTTTAGAACAATAACTAATGTGCAGAATTGAAATCATTCTTCCAGAATAATTATTCTGAATGTGGAAAATGACCGAAAATTGAAAAGCGTTGCAACGCTTTTCACTCAAATCGGGCTAGAATAGCACAAACGTACGACTTTCAACTTGTTTTCGAGTACAATGTATATTTCTTCATTATCTTTTGCACAGCTTTCTGTTTCAAGTGTTCATGCCGATATTTGAAAGAAATTCATTTTTTTTACTTTGAACCTCGGTTGAGTTCCTTTGAGAGATATGCCCGTAAGTTTCGTTTTCGCTCGGCACTTTCCGTACTAACGTGATACAAAGCAAGGGGAATTATGTTACTTTCACTTTATTTAGCCAAACATAAATATTTCATCATTTATTTTCTTAATTAATATCGTTCAAGGATAAAAGGTAAAAAAAGAAAGACAATGTAGGAGTGGCTACAACAGGCTCACTTTAATTTACCTCGTCTGTGTGTAGTGAACCCATTGTAAATAAGTGAGTGTGCATTTGAGTTTATTCACACTCGCCAACGCGGGTTCCCATATCCATGGGCGAGTCGTCCAGAAGTCATTTTAGATTTTGTGCAAGATACAGATACAGAAAGATGCCCCAATTCGAGAAGCTTCTCTAGATTCTTGAACGTGCCGAGTGTTTAAGCACTCATACACGGGATTCATTCGAAAGACTGATTAATAATTTTAGTTGACCCGTCTGTGAATCGAACCCACAATGTCGAGATTACAAGCACTCTAACCGGCTGAGCTACCCATGTACATGCTCCTTATATATTGACAGAACAGCTGAAATACAGCTGCGCTGTCCACAGTGTCCGAAAAACCGTTTATACAGCAAAGACCAATGATAAATAGATAAAATTCGTTTAGACTAACTAGCATGTGCTAATAGTGTATCACATTAAATGTCTTAAATATTTCAGTTAAAACTAGAGTTACAAGAAGATAGGATAAATGGATCAACATTGAACCAGGCCAGGTTTGGTAGTGCAATAGCAAATATTGGTGATATTAATAAAGACGGTTATAATGGTAATTTATTACTTTATCACCTTATTACCTCCCTTTACAATCATTTTTGTCGATGAATTTCTTTAATACCTCCCTGTTTTAAAGTTTAAGTAGCAGTTACATTTTGTTTTATTTACAGTATATCAATATTTGACAGGATATTCGTTAGCAAATTTATTTCAGAAGAACGCATACGAATATTTATACTTTTAACCCGAATACAAATCCGTTTATTTAATAAACTTAAAGAATGCAGTATGATAGTCTTCAATACATGTACATGCCATCTTAAAATTAATAGTTTTAGCGCATCCTCAAAGATTATAACAATACAATATCAATCAATATTTCACTGACACGGTGTAATATCTAAAAATATAAACCGTTGCAGACATAGCCATTGGCGCCCCATACGAGGCTGACGGCGTCGGTGCAGTGTATATATATAATGGATACAGCGGGGGTCTATGGCCTAGATATACGCAAAGAATTCTGGGTACAACTATATCGCCGGGAATTAAGTCGTTTGGAGCGGCATTGACCCCTAGATCGGTCGACGAAGGTGAAGGTCAGTACGTTTGTCATGATATATAACTAAACGTCTTAATATAAGTATAATAAGCAAATGAATAATTCAATTTTATTAATGATTATAATGAAAACAGTTCAAATTTCTATTGTTACGTAACTTATATAGATATATAGATATCCATGCGATCGCAACTTTCCGGTCCTTTCCGTAAGTCTTTGGAATAGCCGAGGACGTTCCGATTGATATCCATGTACACAACAGTACACTTTTTTTGTAAATTGTATACTTAAAGCATATGGCGATGTTATCAAATATTCACCATATTTTGTATCGCTTGTTGAAAATATTTCTGTATATTTTACTTGTCATAGTCTTTGCTGTTGGCGCCTATGAGACGGACAATGTTGCCATTTTGAGGGTTAATCCAGTCGTATCCATGGAAACAATAATGTATGTTAGACCAACAATTATAACAGCCTCTATGCCATATTTGGATTTGAGCACTTGCTTTAAATATACAGGCAATGCAGCAAATTTGCAATCAACTTTAGGTAAGCATGTACTTTTTCCCTTTCCTTTAAAGGAACTCCACTGAGGTCCAAAAGGCTAAGACCATAACATTTAGAATAAAACATAGTTCAACTGGCGCAAAACTGGAAACATATAAAAACGATAATACAGAAATATACTCAGAATTAAACTGAAAATCGAGTTTTAGCCTGATTTTAGTTAAAAGCGTTGTTTTAAAGTCATTTTGCTCACAAAAAATTAATTACTTTAAAAAAAAACAGAGTGAGCGAACGATTTGAAATTTTCACAGAAGTTACTAGTATAGTCACCTACATCAAAACGTATACAACTGACGAAGATATTTCCAGTTCTGCTATGTCAATTTCAAAAAACCTTAGTGGAGTCCCTTTAATATTGCAGTCATGCAATCTAGTGTTGGAGGATAATTTCCTTATTTTTCATGATATCGTGATTTATACTACAATTAATCAGCTGACAACTTACAATGTATGTAAATCACTATTGCCTTTAATGTTGAAATCATGTTCAACAACCTATACTTCAACAAACTATATATGTATGATATTTAATTTAAAAAAGAAACAACCTCTTCTGTATTTTGCTAGAAATGTTGTATCATTTGCCATGTTGTTGTTGCTGTTGTTGTTTTAACAACCTTTGATGTTGTTCTTATAACTCATAGCCATGTTATGTACACTGTTTGTTTGATCCCTTAAAGGATATAAAGCTATATATTATGAAATGTCTTTATAAAAGTTACCAACAGTTAAATTATATTGATTTCATGATTTCATAATCATATGGTCGATTCTTATAGAATGTCTTGGTATTTAATGGCATTTATCACACATGAATAGTGTACGTAAACAGAATAACATATTCCGGAATAAAATTCTGCTATATTAGATAGGGATGTTTCCATTTACCATTGCTTTTGTGTAAACATTTTTCGCGTTTAAGTCAATCGCATTCGGAAGACTAGTAAGGTCGTCAAAAATCATGACTTCCTGTAAAATTTACATATAAGAAGAATTTTTATTGGTCATTTCAAAATTACAACCTGAAATCTGGAAAACTCATTGGCTATTCTATTATAAAAAAAATTGTAAGGTAGTTCTGTAAAGGGGTAATTATTGCCATAATCAAATAAAATATAAAGAATAGTTCTAACTTCAAACTTTCGCACAATTAATAGTTCTTAAATAAACTTTCGCACAATAAATGTTTTGGGTTATACGTAAAATATGCAAGTAAACCAGTTTTACTTCGGCCGAGCATCTTTTTTGATGCTACTATTTGTTTGAAATTTAAACAATAAATTTTGCAGCAGATAATTATATAGCTTTATACACTTTAACCCTTTGCCAGGACCTGTTTAATATTTATTTTTAGATATTACATACACAATGTTAGCAGATACGACAACTCCCGCAGGGTCTGTGAGGGCAATATTTGAGCCAAACAAAGTGCCATACATTACAAGAGATCTACAGATAACGAAAGATGAATTTGTTTGTGACAATAATGTTAGAATCTATGCTCCGGTAAGTATAACGAAAACCCCTCCAACCCGGGCACTTTGTTTGTGATAAGTATGCTCGGGTGTGACGTTTCACATTATAATACTGCTCGTTTGTAACGTCGATTTTCATTGGATAATCGTAACGTTTGTATATAATAGCTGTTCGAGCTTTGTTTATATATGGTCATATAACCTGCCAAAAATCTTTATAACTACTTTTATATAAGCTATGGTGCAAGGATTGGTAAACATAGTTTTCTAGTTATGTACTGTCATTTTATCTTATTACGTGTTTTTCTACTGGGTACACATAGACTCAAAACAGAAATTGTATTTTACAGAATTATCTCTCACTAACAAAAGCATATAAATTTTATGACATATTTCCCTTCACAAAATTTGGAGGTATGAATACAACCGTCCAAAGACTAACAATTTTTGTAGTAATTATGACTATTTCGTTTAGTATCAGGATATTTGGCGTGATGTAGACGTTGAGGTCAGATATGGGCTTGACCCTGCCACAGCGAGGCAATGTGTTCGCAACTGTCCAATCTTGGAGAGGTTTAATGGGAAAGACCCTGAAAGGAGTGCGCAGGATGTGTTTAGAAAAGTGGTGAGTAAAATTAGTCATTCTCTGAGTGATAATAATTTGGTTTACGGAAAATGGCAAATGACGACCACTTGTGAAATGGTGTTAATTTTGACGGTATGAGTAACTAAATGTTTTGTTAATATAGCATTTCATGGAGCATATCACGTCCAACATAAACGAAATGGCATTTCCTTGTACATACACATGTATATTTTTGCATCTTTGTTTTGGTTGTTGTTTTTTGTTGTTTTTGTTTCTGTTTTGTTGTTGTTTTTCTGTTGTTTTTTCCATATTATTAGCTTTTGGATTTGAGCTCTGTATGGGTTCGAGCATGTTTCTTTGTATTGACACCAGAACTGATACGTTCCATTCATCTTCAATTAAAATAGTTTGCATAATCTTGTTTCTGGACTGAGTTTATAAGTACATGTGTATTTATTGTGTTTTAATGTGTATCTAATACCGTACTGCTGAGAAGTTAAAATCAAAATGACATCGAGTCAATCGCCCCTTTTCTGTGCAATCAAAAACATTGCCACTGAAGATGAATTCTTTCATTTTGTGAAGTTATCCATCTATCATTGGTTTTTTTAAGTAACTAGAGACCTTTTCATATACATGTTTTCACACTTGGTTTAGGGAAGAACAATGATACGCATTTTTCTTTCATTATTATTATTATCATTATATTATTATTATCATTATTATTATTATTATAATAATAATTATTATTATTATTATTTTGACTTTGTTCACAGATACAATATGACAAGCAATGTGGCGAGGATAACAAGTGTGACACTGGGCTACAGTTGAAAGTACTTCCACTCACGGAGAGTGGGTATATCGTCACTGGGCGTGACCAGAGCGTCGACGTAAAAGTTGGCCTCTTAAACAACGGGGAGAATGCGTACAATATAATAATGGACGTGGTGATGTTAGGCAACTTCTCCTCCACTATCAGAACAAAAGACACATTTGGTAAATCTATCTTTCATCACATTAACTCATTATTTAGTAAAATTATTATCATTTATTTCTTTATTATTTGTATGTATTTCTGCAAATGTCAAAACCTTTCTTTGGAAACAAAGGCAAAATTCTGAAATCTCCCAAAATGACTGCTTCATGACTAGCCTATTAAGTTATCGTACCCATGTGGATTGTAGAGATCGAAAGAAATTTTCACGGACATCACAGGCGAACCTACGACTTTCAGAATAGAAGTGTGGTTCTTCACTTCCATGCATCATAAATAATACGAAAGCTACATTGTAACTATGTTCAATTATTCAGGGGAGACAATTGTTGACTGCGCACTGCTACAGTACGACAACAGCGATCCTGCATTAGAAGTTGCCACGCATCGTTGCCGTGTCCGTAAACCGTATCCCCTAACAACCATGGAGGAAGTGACCTTCACCTTGGAGATTCCATTAGACAGCAAGGCTAAAATGGCCGAATTTGAGGCCAATTTCACTGTACGAACTGAAGAACAAGATAATCACCAGGCCTCCCAGGCTCTGAAACTACCTGTGAAATCCGAATATGGTCTTCGGATAGAGGGGTAACATTAATACGATATTTCGCATTTTGCCAAAATAGTGTTAATTTGTGATGTCATGTGTTTTTTATATAACTATAACTTTCTTACACTTCTACAAAGAGTTATTTCCCTACGGTAATACCTGATTTTAAGCCAGCTTTTCACACTTCATTTCTTTTCAAAATGCCTGTATTTCTTGCTGATTTCATTCTTTTGTCATAATCATGTACATAAAAAAAGCAGTGAGTAATATTTTTAATTCATTGTTGATGATAAGAAGCACGGCTTTTTCTTATCTAGTCACTGAGTCAAGAGATTACATGTGTTACGTAAAATCCTTTTTTACAGAATTTCCGGACCGGAACAAGTCACACTGAGTGTACAGCAAACGTCTGAGGAATTCACGCCAGTAGAACATAGATACTCCATCAAGAACTTTGGACCGAGCCCGCTAGAAAATGCCGAGATCCATGCCTTCGTTCCTGCTATCATACATAGAAAAGATCCACTAGTCACTAATATTTCCGTCTGGGTAGGACCTTATTTCATTTTTGACAGATATTATAATTTATTAAAGAAAAAAGATGTTATGCGTCTACTTTTTGCCACAAATTTGAATTTTTTAGATATATGTTAAAGCTTTGCAATCTTAATGTGAGTTGTTTTAAGGTTGGCTTATTTCAAAGGTTCTCCTTAAACGTAACGGTTACTTAAAGGCTAATTATGCCTCAGAAATGCTTTTATTTTCGTTTGTCAAAAGCTTTTTTGTATTTGGTGTCCTGATAAAATTTCACAAAAGTGACTCATTAGCTAATTACTTGGACCATATTGTGCTTCTATTGCTTTTTTGCAGTTAGTAAGTTAAAATGATTTAGTATATTGAAAGTCAAAATACTACTTTGTTTATTGTTTGCTACTTTTATGATCAATACTTCCACAGTTACCGCTAATTTCTTCAGGTGGTATGCATCTAAATTATTCTGAAACAATTATCATAATATCATAACGTTATGAAAACCCACGTTTGCCCTTTGTTAAGAATGAACAAATTATTCGTGTCCGAGGGATAATGTGCCTTTAAAAAAGTCTTGAGTCCACAAGGACAACATGGGGAAGCTGGTAATCCGGGGGTTACTGGTTTGATCCTCGGACGAGGAGTAATTTCTTCGTGGCAATAGATCTCGGACATTGGGTATAATTTCCATTTGTCTCTCATCGCAGATTCAGAACAGAACAGTCGGTCGCTTGTGGATAAATTGGTTATTACTGGTTAGTTATCCAGGAATGTCGTTTAGGTGGATCGCCCATCGAAATTTGGCAAAGTAATGTATAAAAATAATGTAACAGAAAAGCAAACAAACTTTAACATTTGTTATTCAATGTTGTTCTTTTTTATTTCTAGCTGACAACATACGAGACAAATCAACCATCTAAACAGCGATGCTACGAAGATAACGGAGGTGGTAACATTCCTAATACAGAATCATCCGGGGGATATGCTATCAGTGTGGTAATTATCTTTCATTTGGTTATGTAACTGTGGTCTGGGAATTGTGTCCTTAACTCTGACAGATTGATAACTTTACATCGTATTTTGTTCTTGACCTGCCAGATTGGTTACTTTATATCACATTTTGTCCTTGATTATTTTACATCACATTTTGTCCATAACCCTGACCGAATTACTAATGTTATTTGAACTTATGGTCCAACATTTTTTCTTTCAAAATGTATTTTTATATTTTTTACTATATATTTGCATTGTACATCTTGTAAAAATTGAAAGGAAAAAAAATATGTTTAAACTAAACTAACCCTGTCTGGTATGTTACTTTACATCACATTTTATCATTAACTCTGACTAATTGGTTATATTATGACCCATGTTGAGAAATAAACACGTTAGTACAATAAGAGGATATAGTACTGCGCATCTCATAGTTTTAGCAGTAAACATTTTAACAGACGACATGTTAAATGTCATTCCCCATCCCCTCCGTTATTGGGATGATCCGTTACTTGCGATATAACAGGTTTCTTCTAGAGAACTTGTCGGAAATGTCTAAAATCCGGTGCTAAACAAAATCAGGTGCTAAACATCTACAGGATAAACAATACATGTATTCAGTTATTAGTGGGAAATGAACATTTTCTATTTCCGGTACAGTAACCGTGCTTTATATTGTTTGTTCTTTTTTCTTCATATTATTCAATACACAGTCTATCAGCATTCTGGATTGGGTAATATATTACTTTTTCATGAGAATCTAAAAACATATTTTATATTTATTTAATCAGTATGGTAAAAAAGTTGATTTTGAGTGGTAGGTTGCGTAGGGTGCTCTTTAATTACAGGTTTCATTTAAAGACGGGTTCACTGTATTACATGTGAATAATTTCCTCCCTTTTCATTTGTTGATGTTTTTTCCACCTTAACAACAATAAAGCTTTCAAATACAATTATATTTTCAGGACTGCTCATCTTTTCCATGCCGCCGATTTTCTTGTAACCTGCTTTCATTCAAAAAAGACGAATCTATCCTAGTTTCTGTTAATGTTTCCGTCAGCCGACAAATTCTTTCCCGGTTGCAGGTATGTTCCATATTCAGCCGCCATACAAAATATAGTTTTTTGGTTTTCCTTCAGTCACTTTTAATCATCCTTTTTAAAATTACTAATATGTTACTGATATATTAATTGATGTCTTAGGTATATTTACTTTTTTTTCGTAAAGATTGTCAAAGGACGATGTTGAGCAAG